GAGCATTCAATACCTAACTCGATTGGTGAGAAATAATTTGCATTTGACTTTTACAAATAAATTGGCATTTTTTCGGCAAACATTAAACTTGTATCCATTATCGATGTTTTCTTTTTTTATAATAACTTGCATTAGAACTCAAGCACCTACAATAAATTGAAAATTGTCCGTATAGTAATTTTCCTTTTCAAACCGATCGGTAAAAAATCAATTGACGCTATTTTCATTAAAAAAAATTTTTTATAACGAAGGAAATTAACGTATTTTAATAGTAACTATGCACTGATTTACAGTTATCAAATGTTAAAAGTATAATTACTGAATACTCTCTTGATTTTCGTACGATTTCCCTGTTTTAGGACAAAAGAGAATAAAAGAATTTTTTTAACTCTTGCAGGGCCTTATTTTAAAATTAATTTTATTTGCAATGAGGTCATTAACTGATTCATATTCATGGCTAAAATTGTGTGAAATGGATGCATGATTGCAAATTAAATCAGTGATAGTAAAAATTTAACATTTTGGGAAAATTCTTTTAGTAAAAAAAGCACTCACTGACAAGATCAGTATGTTTCTTGTATAAAATTGTACCAAAATTATTTTAAAAGTCCATTTTTTGCATTTAGTTCAACGCTAAATTAAATAAATTAAATCAGTGAGTTTACTGATTGAATAAGCCAAAATTAGATAACCATGAATCAGTGAGCATACATGAAAAATTAGCGGTTAGTTTCACCAACCTTGCATTGAATATTGCGTTCACTGATGTAATCGGTTAATTTTTTGCCAAATAGATTCAAAATAGATTACTTTATACAAGGGAATGAATATTATAAAAATTAAAAGTACGGTTTAAGAAAAAAATATGAGTTTACTTCATTAGCTTTCAAAATATATAACTTTATTCAACTAAAAAATGAGGTACGTATACTCTTTTTTATCGCAAAATGGGGATGTCACACTTTTGAGAAAAAATGAATGAAACGAAAACTAGATATTAACTCATTTTTCTCTGTAAATATTCTTTTTTGAATAATGAAAAATATACAACCGAATGAAGTAGTGGAAAAATTCCTACAAATTATTTTCACTACTTATAAAAAAAGGTAATAAATAATTGTTTCAAAGGATCAAACGGAATTTTAAAAATACTTGAATTATTTTAGTAATATCTTATAAATTCGTGATCAAGAAAAAAAAATTTTGATACCATTAAAATATTCAGTTAAGGGAAAAACTTTGTGGCGTCGGAAAACTCTTCCGAACCACTTCCATTGATTAAATTGAACAAGAGGCTAAGTCATGAGATTAAAATATATGTTGAAACCATAAAATACTGCACGATTGAACTCTATTATACGTAACTGCATAGCAACATTTATACATATGAAACTCGATTAAAACTTGTTTTTTCAGAAAAATTTTTCCTCATTCGAAAGTAAAAAATCCCTACTGTTTCTTCTGGTTGCATATACCAATAACTTAAAAATACTGCAGTTTTTCGCTGTTGCCGATTCGAAAAGCACTGGTTCTTTAATTAAATTATGATAACACTGATTCGCAGTTGCTGCTTGAAGCGAAGGTACGAGAGTGGCAGAAAGAAATAGCCCTAGAAATTAGTTTTTAAAACGCATTATCTCGTAAATACTTGAAAATCATCTTCGAAATCATACTGAACATTTTTTACATCTATTCGATCAGTGTTCTGTTCTCTCGCGTAAGCAAAAAAAAAAGCTAAATTAAAAACAAGATCCAAAAGACAGTTGAACCATGAGCAAAATTATATTTTTTTTGGGCATCGAGATAAAAGTTTAGTCGTTACGGACATCGAAAAGACCTCTTTTTTTTTCTCATTCACAAACTAACTCGTGTAAAGGGATCCAACGGCTGTCTGTTATACCCATGGCCGTACGATAACACGCCTAACGGAGCAACGATGCTTTGAGAGAGAGAGAGAGAGAGAGAGAAAAGAAAAAAAATCCTTTCGTACGTTAAAACCAACCGTGTGCAGCGCTGGCTCGTAAGGGTTGAAAGAGAGCCCGCGTAGACCCAGCCAGTGGCAAAGCAATTATGGGGCACCAGCGCGCAAAAATCTAGGACACGCGCGTGCGAATATACTTACCCGAGCCATACTCCGGGAGACTTCATTTTTAAAAAAATGCGATCCAACCGGAGGGGAACGTGGGGTGGGCCTGCATCAGCCATTTTTTAGGTGCATCAGCCAAGGGGAGAGAAATAAAAGCCATGGGTATGACAGGGGAGAGTACGGGTACCAGGGGGTTGCAGCATCGGCGGGGCGTACGTCAGGGGTGCTTTCTCTCTCTCTCTCCCTCCCTATGCACGGCAAGAGAAAGGGAGGAGACAGTCCCCGTGTGCCGAACACAGAGATAGAGGGGGGGGGTTGGAAAATCTGACCCAGCAAGCGTATACGACCAATCCCCGCGTTCAGGCCCACACGCTACATGCAGCATTCTGCATAAATGCACACCCATACGTACCCACACATGCCCAGCAAATGCAACGCCAGCATCGTGGAATGTGAAAAAGAGTGGATATAAGAGGAGGAGGAGGAGCGACTCTCGCAAAAAGCGACTGGCGTCCAAAAAAAAAAGGAAAAAAGAAAAGAAAAGAAGAAGAGAGAAAAAAAAAAAAAAAAGCTGCAAGCTGCCGACCCGACGACGTCGGCGACTCGGTCCATCTGCTGCTTGATATGTTTTGTTCGGTCGGAGGCCAGCCAACTCACGTCACTGCAGTCCACGTATATTACAGTCTCTGATCTGATGCCCCGCAAGACCCGACCAGAGAGAGAGAGAGGAGACAAAAACTCGCCTAACCCTTCCTTGATTACAATGCCGGCAAAAAGTGAAATACTAACCGCCGTCGCCGGCGCGCCGCCGCCACCACCACCACCATCATCACCATCGCGCTAAGAAACTAGACTCGTTTTTGTGTTCGGAGCGGCCAGCAGCGTCAAGAGAGCTACGTCAAGTGTATATATATATATATACATACCTATATACACATCGTACACCCCACAAAGAAATGAGTAGAGTTCTTACGCCCCCTCCCTGTATCCCCCATAACCACCACCACCACCCAGCTGCAGCAGCTTCCTTATATACTCTCCTCCATCCCCTGTGTACTTCGCCTCGTCTTCGACTTGGCTCTCTCTGCAGCTTTTTTTCTCTCGATACCCCCCCCCCCCCCTCCCCCGACTCTCCGCTCTGCGTAACCCATTGTCCATATCTCTCTCTCGCTTTTTCTTTTCTTGTCCCGTGCTCGACTACTGTTCTCCGCTACTGTTAAGTATTATCTCGCTGGCTCGTGGGCCAAGAACAAAAAAATCACGCGCCCCCGCCGTCTTGGAGTCGCCTCCTCCTCCTCCTCCTCCTATAAGAAATATATACATGTATATGATCCTCTATACGGCAAACGATACCCACAGTTTTCCCTCCCCGTTTTCCTTTGCATCGTGTGTACGAGAGAGATCTTCCTCCCTTGCGTCCCGGTGCTCTACAAAATTTATGTATAAGCTGTCCTCCGGTATGAGTGGTACTTGAACTTTTGCTCGCTCTGCAAGCTCCTTCTCTCTCTCTCTCTCTCTCTCTTCCTCCAACTTTGTAAATCTGTTTTCCCAAAGTTCTCTCTCTGCTGAATTCCTGCACTTTCATATTTTTCTTTCTTTTTTTTTTTTTTTTTTTTTTTCATACAGTTGGACTGTACCGATCTATGTAAAATCGGTTGCACAAGACGACCCCCTTTCCTACGTGTATATGTATATAAGCAGATAATAATAATTTTTAATTTAAATTAATATACATATATATAACAATTAAATGCGTGCATAATTATAAGTACCTGTATATATATATATACGTGTACTCGTTGCAAGTTTTTGCGCAACCGATCGTTAAAAGCGGCAAGAATGCATCATCGGCACAAAGAGGGAGGGGGCAATTGTCGCCGAAAGGGGGAAGAATTCATACCAATACAACGTAGGGGGAAAGGGCAGGGACAATCAAATACATATACAATATAATGCAATGTCTCGCAATGTCCCCGGAGCATTGTTATATTGTAATAAACTCTTGTAAGGCGCGTGAGAGAGGATAGAAGAAGACACGATGGGTGTATACATGTATATTACATACAAGGAGGGAGGAGGTGAGTGAAAGCAGGATATAATAGGTATGGCGAGCAAAGAAAAGCAAGTATAGTATATAGGTATATAGGTATAAATATAAATGAAAGCCCGTGTGTGTAAGTAATATAAGAGCCGTCGGTCAGTTTTTTCGATTCGCAAGCAAACCGATCCTTCTTTTTACTCAGCTCTCTCTCTCTCTCTCTCTCCTCGGCTCCCTCCCTCCCTCCCTCCTTACTTACTCTCTTTTTTTTCCATTCTCTCGCGCTCGATCTCCCCTCTATAATGCAGTACATATATAAGCTACCAGGTAGCTCTCGCATATATATATTATACACACAGCTCTCTCCACCCATCAGCCTATTAATTTATACGCGATGTCCTCCCCCCCGCGTGCGTGCACGCGTAACTTTTTTTCCAACCCCCCTCGGCTTCTGCGAAATTTGCAACAACTAATCGTCTGTCCGCCTCTCTCTCTCTCTCTCTCTCGCCCTCCTCCTTTCTTGGGCTGATGATGATGATGATGATGATGCTGGCGCAGAACCTCTTTTTATCATCCCGGCGAGCGCGCGATTCCTCGCCGCGCAAACCTTTTATCAACCATACACGTGTATATACATATTATACCTTATTATTATACCTCTCTTTTGCTCTCTCTCTCTCTCTCTGCTTCTGCTGTTAAATATATATATATATGTACGAGGTGCAGTGTAGCGTTTAACGCGCGATATGAGCCCCTGTGTAGCAGCGAAGAGAGTTATTATTTGCACTTTGACTTACTTGTTGATGGCGCTTTACACAACTTACGATTTTCCTTAATCTTTTTTTTATTTATTTATTTGTTTTTTTTTCATTTCAGTGGTGCAAACGTCGGTGCCCCAAAACGAGGCTGAACTTCAGCTCTACCGAGTCATGCAGCGGGCCTCCCTGCTCGGCTACTACGACACGCTTCTCGAAATGGGTACGTTTTCTTTTTCTAGTGGCAATTCAATACATGCGTTCCCCGTATAAAATGTTAATCTCGTCGTGTCACAGGAGGCGACGACGTGCAGCAGCTGTGCGACGCCGGTGAAGAGGAGTTCCTCGAGATAATGGCCCTCGTGGGCATGGCCAGTAAACCCCTGCACGTGCGCAGGTTGCAAAAAGCTCTGCAGGAGTGGCTGACCAACCCCGGTAAGCGTTTCTACAGTCGAAAGCTCTCATGAGCTGTAAATCAAAGCCTACGTGCAACGTTATGTTTACCAATGGGCCACCCGCAGCAATGTTTCAGAGTCCCGTCCTGGTGCCACCGGGTTCCAGCGCCTCGAGCAACAGCCCCACGGTCGTGGCTAAAGCGACCCCGACTCTCGGCTTTCCCTGCATCGGGGGCAGTTACGGTCCCAACGCGAGGCAACAGCAGCAGGTGAGCGTCCTCGGGAGTACCGCGGGCGGCAGTATAAGCAGCGCCACGACGACCAACAAGCTGGTTCCGTCGCCCGCGTCGAGTCAAGCGGCTGCGGCCGTCCAACAGCTCCTCGGCCAATTCACGAACGCGTCCAGCTGCTGCCCGCTGCAGAGGCACAAGAGCCTCAGTCCGCCCGTGCACCACGCGGCCGCCCTCAATTACCCCGGAGGTTTGCCCCAGGCTGTCCCGACCGAGCTAGCTCCGAGTCCTGCCTCCTCCTTGGCGCAGCCGCTCTCCCACAGTCCCAGCGCACCACAAGTGAGTCAACCCTACACACATGTACATAATATAATATGTTCATTCATATTGTATACGCTGCTCGAAATTAATATCATATTTATATGTATTAGAGATTATATAATATAACACACGCTTTATACATGATTAATCGATCAATGATCGATATGGCATGAGTGACGGAAACTATACACATATATGTAGAGGAGCTTGTTGCATGTTGCGCCTGTGATATACCTAATACTCACACATTAACAATATACGATTACATTCATCGTGCCGAGCTTTTTTTCAAGATGCACAAGCTTAGCGCGCGCGGCTGCGTGTACCTGTACTTTTTTTTTTTTTTTTTTTTTTTTTTTTCCTCCCAAGTACCATACTTGGCAAAGAGGTGCAGAGAGTTTATTTACAGCGGCATTATAAACGAGGAGTTGCAGGCTGGAATGAATTACGAGTCGAGCTCCTGCGGTAGCCAGGGCACGAGCCCGAGCCCGGGGAGTAACTCGGCGTGCGGTACGGCGGCTCCCCCGAGTCCGACCCTCGGCTCGTTTCACACGACGCCCGTGCTGCTCGAGTGCCAGGTCCAGCGGTTGGCCGAGGCCGCCGAGAGGCTCGCCTCGACCCTGAGGCCCCTCAATCCCAAGCCGCCCAGCACGGGCATCAAAAAGAAGATGTGCCGGAACCTCGAGGTGGTTGTTCATTGCCCTCCTCTCTCTCGCATACTCTGTTTTTTTTTTTTTTTTCTTTTTTCTCCCCACCTCTTGTTTCCTCGTACTAATACTGCTTATTAATCATTTACACCCGCTATACTTGTACATGTAGTATATAAATAATGGTACGTGGTAGATGGGGGAATTACATGCATAATACATAATTATTGTTGTTGACAAAAAATCGTGGGTTTTCTTTTCTTCGATGGTTACCATGTAAATACATTTAGTACATATAAGGTATAAATATGAACGCAGATGGTGATGGCAATGCCGGACAGCGAGCCACGTCGTATGGAGGAGATAAGGAAGTACGCGGCCATTTACGGGCGATTCGATTGCAAGAGGAGACCGGAGAAGCCGCTCACTCTGCACGAGGTGTCGGTTAACGAGGCAGCCGCCCAAATTTGCCGATTCGTCCCTGCCCTACTCACGAGGAGGGACGAGCTGTTTCCGCTCGCGCGACGCGTCGTACGCGACTCTGGCCATTATTACACCAAAAATTTGCTGTCCAGCACTTCTCTGTGAGTAAATATATGCGTATATACATATGTTGCGCAGCTTAATGATTTTATTCCTTTGTTGCGAAAAAACAATACAAAACATAAAAAAAAAACAATCATTTCGCAGAAGATCGTCTCGAGAGAACGGCGATGGCGATTTGTCGGGCGGCGACGATTCGTCCTTGCCGGCCGGCGAAGAGGCCAACAAACGCCGAAGACTCATCGAGGACGATTCCAGTTTGGCTGCGGCCAACACCGGCGACCGAGACGGCTGTGTCGAGTCCAACCAGCAGCAGGTTAGCCCCTCGACGCCACAGCAAAAATAGATAAAAAAATAAAAACAACAACAACAACAACGACAACGATAACAAATAAAAACAGCCGCGCTGCAAGCACGCGTAGTCGCAATATTGTTGAAAAATCGCAATCGCGAGAGCACTTCTCTGTGTATATCATGATTGTATTTTATGAACCTGCTCCTCCTGCTGCACACACGCACACAACACATGTATACTTAATCCATCGCACTAACCAGCTCTCGTCTCGGCTTCGTTAAAACTCACCTGCAGTCGAGGATGACTCGCTTTTTGCGAAATAACGAAAAAGGTCAAGTATGCTGGCTGAAGCTTTGCAAAACTTTGAGTTATCTTATTTAAACCTTTGTTTATTTTCATTTTATTTTTTTTTATTTTTTTTTTTATTTTTTTCTTCTTTTGTGTGTCGCGTGTTTGGCATTTGCTTGCGCTGTTGCTGCTTTAACTACTTACTTTTTTTCGGGTTGCGCATGATTAACGTTGCATGTAAATATACTTATATGGTAGACGTAAAAATTATTTTGGTGCAATAATACTTGCGTATAGGTTGTACGAACAGTTGCATGCCGCATGAATTACTATATGGTTTGTGCATGTTCAATGTATACCTACAAATGACAAAATGTGATCTTTCGATTCATCGAGAGCTCGATACCGTTTGTAGCAGATACGTCCATGTTCCAGGCGGAAATCACAAGAATAAGGCTATTTAATTATAGCCGAGCCGTAAACGCCGTTGATTCGGAGGCTCATTTGATACAGCAGATGCAGCAAAATCGTCATCGCAAACGACAGCGACGGCGTCGGATTTCAAAACTTGGTCGCAAATCAGTATCGAGGCTCGGAAGCTTGACCATCAGGTACTTATTGTAAAATACAAATTTCATCACTGTGAATACGTAAAATGTATGCTATATTCGTTGATGCCCACCGATTTTGTTTTAGTCCAGTGTGGCAGTCTTGCAGTGACAACAGCAATCTCGTTCTCGACGAAGTAGTCGGGGGACTCGATCACCACTCGGATGGTTGTTATTCATCCTTTGATGACGAGTGGGACGACGGCTGTGGTGATTTCGATACCGACGATGCTGCGGGAAATGACACCGACGAGCACCCCTCGTCACAAATCATGCACGTAAGTCGTGCCAATAGTAATATTGTTATTTATATTTATATAATTATGTAAATGCAGATGTAAATTCAATTTTTTTTTTTTTTTTTTTTTTTTTTTTTTTTTTTAACAGGACCAACAATCAAACGTGATGCAAGAGAACGATGCGTCGTCTATTGTGGACAAGGAAAACGATTTCAATCTAAAGGTAACAAGCAAATCATTTTTGGCAAATTTTAAAGCTTAAAAAACTTGATGTGCTTTACTGAATAAGAACTTTCATTTTAGGTGATAGCATCTTGTGGAGATAATATTATAGCAGTTGCTAATCCAGCTCTGATGAACCACAACCTGCCGACAACGATGACGAAAGAACAATCGATCAAAGAGGAAATTATACTGCGCGACAGAAGAGACTGAATATTCGTTTTGGCTTTTGCTTAGTTAAATTTGATAAAAATGTAATCTAAAATTTTTCTAAAATGCTATACGTTTTACTGTACGTCGCTTTCGAATCGACTGTTATATCGTTGATTACAATGTAAATACATTTAACAAACTAACAATTTGTACATTTAATTTATCATTAATGAAAATTTTATGTCACATCCCTTCCTTCGACACCTTAATTAGCGCAACAAACAACTAATGTGTACTTATACAAACGTACGTTAAAATTTGAAGAAAAAAAAGTTAAAAACTCTTGAAAATTAGACTTTTGAACTTACAGGTACATTTTATGTTGAAGATAAAATATAATTAGGTGTGTAAGTATTGCTCGGTGAATATTGAAGAAACACGAAAAGTGTGGCTTATCCGCAGCTGTTGAAAAAAAAATGTAACCCGTTCACTTGAGCTCGATCAGCTCTCTCTCCTCTGCCCCTCATACCTGATCACGTCCATAATTGTAGATCAGATTATTACACTTACTTATACATGCTCCACGCCACGACGCCGCTGGTACACTGCACGGTCTACATATATATGTATCCAAGTGTGTGTTTTCCGTCTCTGTCTTTCTGTGCTTTGCAGAAAATTTCAGTGCCACCTCATCGTAAGTACAATGTTGACGTGCGTGTCTCTGACCAGTGATTAGTTATCGATACAAAAATTAAGTACCTTTTGGTGATTAGGTGTACTTATGTCCTTACGACCAATCGCTCAAACTTTGTCGTAAACTAATCCACAAAATCAAAAATGACCGGCCAATTTACACTCGTCGGTCTATTGCTGCTACTATCTCGGGTACAATGTATTTCGTGGTATATGGAACCTGCACCAAGAGCTCAAAAGTGCTTAAAAGAAGAGATACACGGAAATGTCCTCGTAGTCGGTGAATACGAGGTCTCCGAAGTTCCCGGCCAGAAAGTCGACTTTGTGGCAAGTATCTACATTTATTTTTCAAAGCATATACTGACCGACTGTTGAGGGTTATGTTCTATGTGCACCGAACTGCTCCAATATGCTTCGTGTATCTGTTTTGTCATTTATTTAACATTGTTTAAAAAACCAATAATGTTGACTAATAGTTTACTAGATTTGTCGTGCCTACGCGATCTGACGTTTAGTGCAATGTTTTTTAAAATATATGTTTCAGGTTAAGGATTCCAAAAATCATATCCTTGCACAAAAAGATGATGTTCAACATGGAAAAATGGCAAAGTTTACATTTGTTACTGAAGCATACGACGTTTTTGAAGTCTGCTTCACTTCAATCACTTTGCACGGTAAGCTCGTTAATTTTTTTTTTTTTTTTTTTCTACTCTTTTTTTTTATGTGTTCATACTCATTTTATTTGATTCCATTAAATTTATAGGTCAAAGAGGTATACAGCAAGAAGTTAATCTATCCATCAAAAAGGGTATTGAAGCTAAGAGCTATGAGGGGGTAAGTTTTTTGTCAATCTTGTACAATATGAATTATATACATTTTGAAAACATACCTATAATTAAATTTATTTTCTATGATTTTTATGGACACTCAGCTTTTGGTAACGATTATTTGTTATACCCTTCAAATTTGTCCTTACTAAATATAACATCTGGTCCTCATTGTTTTAACTTTTGTTAAAATTGCATGGAATTCGTTTTATTAAAAAAAAAAAAAAATGAGTGAAGACAATTAAAAATTAGCGTTTGACTTTAATTTTACTAAGTTCTCTGTAATCATTGAGTTCACAGTCTGATTTAGTTATAAACTAGACTCACACAAGCTTTTCAATAGGACAGACAAGTTCAGTGTGTAAATGAGCAGCTAGTGATATTAAATATGCTTACAGTTATTTTTGTGAGATGAGTGATTGTAATTTTTACCAAATAATTTATATAAAATTTATTATAGCTTGGGGAAGCTGCTAAACTTAAGCCTATTGAAGTGGAATTAAAAAGGTTAGAAGATTTGTCTGAGGCAATTGTACAAGATTTTGTTAGAATGCGCAAGAGTGAAGAAGAAATGAAAGATACAAATGGTAACTTACTATTTTTTAAGATTTGGACAAGAGTTTATTTATGTCAACTTGATTTTTCATAAATTTGGTTCATTTTAGAATCCACAAATTCCCGTGTTCTTTTCTTCAGTATATTTTCGATGGTATGTCTTCTCAGTTTGGCTACCTGGCAAGTCTTTTACCTGAGACGTTTCTTCAGGGCAAAGAAACTTATTGAGTAATGAACATTATCATTCAATCTTCATGAAAAATCATGAGTCATTCAAACAAAGCTGTGTCCAAGTAATTAATAACTTGGTTAAACATCAGAAGATAAACTGTAAATGTTGTTGAGTGGTTTAATATATAAAAAAAAAGCTTGGTGAACAAGCCTAAATAATAACAACATAATACTTTGATATTTTTACCAAGATCAATTCATTGCCGGTCATCCAAAACATTTTTTGTACAAAATGTCATTTTAAGTAACTTGTTAAAAAAAATGTACAGTAACTTAAACTTAAATATTTTAGCGAATTTAAATCAACTATGGTTATGAAAGTAGCAATTTTTTAATGTTTAATTAAAATAAGTATATTTAAAAAATTTTTCATACATTGTACGTGTTTTTTTTTTTGAGCTTACACAACACTAATTCTATTGTTTTAAAATGATATGTGTGATGAAATAAATAATTGCTACTTATGTCCATTCTTTGTCACGTTATTTTCAATTTCAGAAAAAAATTAATGTTTTTCTTGATAATGATAAGAAAAAAGTGTTATTCTCCGAGAGGCGCAGAGAGAGACAAGTTATCTCAGATAACCCATGTGACCGACCAAATAAATAAAGCTAGGTAAAAAAAAGTCACGAAATCTCCTAACCTTTTTACCTTGTATATAAGTTTAGTACCGTACGTAATAATACGTTCATAAACAAATCCTTCACACGTTGTACGGGTCGATGTGTGCATTTACAAAATGACGGAATCAACAAGTATTATTGCAAGTAGGAATCGCGAGTGTACGGCGTGTAGAGTTGTAAGTGGTTCTGGTCTCATTGGAGCTGGTATTTACGTCGCTTACCATTCACAAAAATTAAATAAACTACCAGGAAAAGTAATGATGTTCGGTCTAGCTGCAAGTAAGATTTTTTTCGAAATTTTAATGTGCGCACTGTCAAATTGAGATTTTACATATTAACACATATTTCGTAACTTTCGGCAGCAATCGGAGGATTAGGGGTGGCGAGAATTTGGGATCTGCCACCGTTTCGACATCAATTTTCTACCCAATAATTATTCGGTTACGAATTGTTGATGATGTATTACAGTTGTGTTTTCTATTTATATTTCATGTCAAGTCTAATTTTGTACAGTTTTGTGTAAGGCCCCTAAATAAACTATTAGATTATTGATAAATTTCTGGGTATTCAAAAATGCAAGTTTTCATTACCTACATGTATGTTGTCTACAACTGATAATTTAAGATTTGTACAAATACTCAGGATTTAGTAACTATTTGTGTGGAGTTAACGTTTTTTTTTTTTTTTTTTTTTTTTTATCATCTTACTGTTTCAGTCGAATTGTCGATAAACTTTTAATTTTGAACAGTCTGAACATAGCTGCAAGTGATGAATAATAATCGTGATTTGTAGTCGATTATCGAACAACACATAACCTGCCTAGCTGCAATTGAGCCATTTTCTTCTTGTGAAATTATAAATACCAAATCATATTTTTCCTCGAGTGTTTAAAAACTGTGGCTAAATTTATTTTATTTTTTTTTGTACATTACAATTTAATTATGATCTAATCGACTATCGATTGCCATTTGCTACCGGAGACTTGGATAGGCATAAATTTTGATTAGTCATGGTACTTATGTCGAAAAACTGCTGAACTTCATTCAAGTATCATGCAGCTATAAAAAGAGAGCTTTCATCATTCAACGAATCATTCTCTTCTTTATTACAAACGTGGCCATCGTCAGTAGATAGTCACTTTGATGAGTCGGTGTTAATGCACGGGAGCAATAAGTATTGAAACTACTTTGTCTGATCAACAAGTAGGTGCGTGTTCTACTTCTTTTGTTTGGTAAACTTTTAAATTTAAACAGAAATTGTTTGGACATACTAACTTTGTTTTATTTTTCTCTATTGACCATTAGTCATGGAATTTCCTAATCTGGGAGAGCATTGTTTCAAGGAAAGCTGTAATCGCTTGGATTTTCTGCCTCTCAAGTGTAATGCTTGTAAAGCAATATTTTGCACAAACCATATTTCGTATGCTGAACACTCCTGTCCCAAAGCTCAAGAGAAGGATGTTCAGGTACCAGTTTGTCCATTGTGCAATGTTCCTGTCCCATCAAAAAGAGGGGACCCTCCTGATTTAGCAGTAGGCTTGCATATTGACAACGACTGTAAATCGGACTATGGAAAAAACCGTAGAAAAGTTTTTGCCAACAAGTGTTCATCCAGTGGCTGCAAGACTAAGGAAATCGTTCCTGTCAAGTGCAATGACTGTAGCAAAAACTTTTGCTTCAAACATAGACACCCAGTTGATCATAAATGCATAGGAAAAGAAGAATCTTTAAGAATTAAGAGATTAAATGCTTTAAGTAAAACAAATCAGAATAGTAATAGTGGTAATAGTTCAAATAACTTTAGAAACCTTCAGGGACAAATGAGTGAAGATGAAGCTCTTGCCAGAGCTTTACAAGCTTCTCTTCAAGACGAACAAAAACAGGCAATGCAGCAGCCAGTGCCTTGGATAAGTCTTGATAGATGTAGACTGTCTTGAATTTCAAGTGTGTAAACTACCAAACTCTAATATTTATCATGTGAAACAACGTACTAAAGTCTCAAGGGCAAATTTTAAAGAACTCTCTAAGATGTAATGCAGATTTTATAGTTCTTATTTGTTATCTATATAGGTAGTCTTGTGTACAGATTCTATATGTGCCTGTGATTTTGTAAACTCTTAATGATTCTCTTTTTACTGATATTTTATTATAAGTACTCACTGTACTCTGAATATAAAAGATGTATCCAAAATATGTATTACTAAAGCTACTACTCTAATTAAGCTTTTGATATTGTATCTACAGAATCTATGCTATTTTGTGTACATTCCACAGAGCACTTGGTTTATGGGGTCTGGATATTCTATTTAAAATAAAAGTTACTTACAAATGACGCATTTTTTTTATTATAAATATTTTTACATGTATTTCCAAAAATTACGAATTTATATTTATCTTCCTACTTTGCCCAACTTTGTATCGGTTTTAGGATTGGCTGTTATACTTTGAACACTCACAATTGCTTCGTTGATCTTAGTTTGCAGATCTCTTAAATCTTGAATGTACAATAAACATAGTACTTTGGCTGCATTAGTCAAGACCTTGTCACCCATATTAAATCCAACTTCTGTTTCCATGATTGGAAACGGTTTTCCAGTAACTATAACCGAATTCGGATATTGAATAGCAGCTGGATTCAATCTTTTGCAAATAAGTTTAGCACACGCCTCAAGTGTCATCAAATGATTAGGATGTTGAGGTATTGTTAACAGTTTTGCCAATGAATTAACACCATTTTTGAAATCATCACATTGAACTATAAACATGACAATAATTATGACACTTATTAAGTACAACTGAAACAAGTTACTTGTGCAATTACTTACAATCTAAATTGTCGAGCGGGTTTGTGGATTTGACAGTAGGAGCAGCCTCGTTTTTTTTACTGCTCAAAACAGCTTTATATTTTTCACCTGTAATTCCAAGATTATTGTTAATGTGTAAAAACTATAAAAAGACTGTTACTTTGTCCAGTATTTACTAACAGTCATCTTCAAACTCCAGTCGTACTGCCAAGGCTACAAGCCATTCTAACTTTTCCAATGGAGATAGAAGAGATGGACAGCCAAGATCAGCAAGATATTTATCATAAGTTTCTTGCCACTGGTTAGAATTTATGTTATGCAAATTTGTGCGGTCTTCAATTTTGTAATGCCTGATATTTTGATCTTCCAACCAATTCACTAACTTTTTAACGTGTTGCTCATCTGCAAGGTAAGAAATGATAGAACTAAGACGTATTGTAATTTTGTAAACAAATTTTAATTGCCGGTAGGAGGTTGTCAAATGATTTTAATAAGCGTGAATGTTTACTTTACCATTTCCATTAACCTTGTCCCATTCCATATATCCAAGAGCTTTGAGTTTTCGCTTAAACATTATTTAGATACTAACAATTTATGCTTAAATTAACAGAAAATTACGATTGGCAACTAAACTGTGCAACTTTATGCACGTATAACCTTCCCACTCCCTCGAAGTTCACTGCTTTTTCCGTTCCGCAAAGGTGACGCTGTGCACAGCGTCGCTGAATCGTATGAAAGGAACGATTACAATTCCCTGTTTCACTTTTTGATTGAGTTTTTTGAAGTTTGAAGGGAAGAGGGAAAAGCTCTAAATTTAATACGATTTCTTTTCCCTTCAACACATTTGTGCATTTAATAATTTAAGTTCTTTATAAAATAGATACTTTCGTTCCCTTTTTATTTATTTTTACAAAATTAGCTTACACAAACACAGCATCCAACTATTTTCAAGATCTCGTAGACGCGTATGAAATAAGGAAATCGGAGCAGAGTACCTATATATATATACAGTAGTAGTTTCCCCCTCCCTCCCTAAAAGCAGACGTTTTTCTCTATCACATGTGGTGTGTGTATAAATATTTTATTTTTTTGTAAAAAACAATAAAGTTACAATAAATATTCAACAGTGCCTTTTTATCATGTTTATAACTGCGGCAATTTCAGATATTCGGTGTTATTTTTGAATGACCGAATCAACGAACCCCAGGCAATAATGAACATTGGATTATTGTTAAATTCATTTTCAAGGTACTTTACCAAGCATCATACAACATTTTAACATCAAAAATGATTTGTTTTATCATTTAAAAACTATTTTAGGCTCAAGATAAATAATGCCATTCCATCACGGAACATTTCTATTTATCCTTCGCTCTTTCTAAACACTACAAACGTTCTATTGTGAGTTGAAATAAAATATATTTTTCTTTTTATTTGGTATTGTAACTTCATGTAGACATGGTGTATACTTATTTTCAACTTATTTATAGTGCAGAACCATTAAAAAAGAAAAGGAGGATTGATCCTGGAATTGTCAGAGCAAGAGAAGAGCGTAGAAAAAGAAAATTAGAAAAATCTATACGGAAGCTACAAAAAACTGCTCGACAATTAAAACCTATTGCTGAAATAGAAGTGCCAGCAAAACTTAAAAAAGAACTAGAGTAAGTTTTTGACGGTATCTAGAAAGATGTTTATATTTTTTAGATTATTCATGTCGATTTCATAATTTACAGACTTAGAAAACGAGAAGTACCAGCAGTATCTGCTGAGAAACTGGAAAGCGAAGTACTTTTGAAGAAAGAATGGACTAGATATAAAACAAAACAGCATAAAGAAACTTTACAGTTGATAGAAAAATTTATGTCTGCACAGAAAAAATCTCTTGATGAGCTCAGACTAATATCGGAAGAGCTCTATCAAGAGGCAATACAGGTATTACTAGGATTTTCAAAGAAAAATTATTGAACTATCTGCTAAGTATAAAGTATAAGTAGCTTATCTTCCCGTTTTCAGATTGATCCCGAGTTGTTGCCATTTTCAACCAAAGGTCCAGTGCGTACACCTCCTATTGAAGGCTATGATCCTCCAGATGGTGAATACATAGATATTACCAAAAAATATGAAGGAGAAACTTGAGTCAAAGACATGAGTTGGAGTTTTGTTTCTGTAAAATATTTTGAAGTAATAGAAAAAATTTTTTTTATCAGCCATTAGTGTTGTGTTTAAACTGTTTTTCTCATAACGTTTTTATTGGTGATGAAAAATTTTGTACAAAGATTTATCTGCACTTCTTACTAAATACGTGAGCAACGAAAAATTAATCCTTTAGTTTAAAACATAATGATATGGAGTCTTTGAACAATACCTCAGCTCAAAGTGTATTGAGTGAAAAACTCTATTCAAATTAATCCAATAGTAATGTCACAGACTGGTAAAAGTCTTTATACACGTGTGTAAATAAACACACACAGATAATAAGACTAATCCACAATCATTTAATAACTCATTTTTCCCCTGTACACAAAAAAAGTAAAATACTTCAATTAATTAATGGAAATAATGTCTTGAAAAAAAACACCGATTCGCAACCATAGATGTAGCAGAAAATTGAATAATACATTTTTTAACAGAAATCTATTTAGTATTAAAAAAAAAATCTCTTTTCAATTACATCGATATTACTTTAGAGAACTTCACAAGAAGTATGCTCAAGAAGTATGTCGCATTCATCAGATTTTAGAGAATTGTCACTTTTATTTTTGTATTTCCATAAACATCAGCGGTTAATTACTGCGTGAAAAGTATACTGCGATAAAAATTTTGCAACTTATCTTGTAAGTTTTGTGCCATGTAATTTTTAAAATCTTGTTCCGAAAATTTATTAGATATAGACTGATACATAGAAAATAAGTCCACTACAATACATTATAACTTCTTTTTGAACAAATTTCGACAAAATTTAACAGTTCTCACGTGATTCATGTATTTTATCCCAGTTGCCAGGTTTTCTTTCTTGTCTTTGCACGCATGCCTTTTTCATATACCTAACAGTCAACTTGGTTCTGCAAGATGGGTGATACACCACGGAATTTTGCAATTTCTGGCCTATAATTTATGTTCGTCTCATCCATTTGCCATTGCTTTGTCCAAAGTGATTTTATGAATAATGGTAAACACGTTTTCTTTGCCGTGACAGCAGTCACACGGAAAACACTCGACTTTCAACCGTTTACTCATTTTACTCAGTGACAATTAAGAAATCTTCAAGTAACAATCTTTGGTAAGTACTTGTACTCTGGCCGGCTTAATTAAATCTCTTATTAACGGGCACTCGATACCAGTATAACAACCAACAATAGATATATATATGTATTCCCTGGTATTCCGTTACCTTTTTTTCGCGAGACGGAAATAGTGTGTAACATTTCTATGTACACAAATATATTACAGCTAATGCTATAAAATTTATGCATTACTTCCAACATCCCATGGATGGTAAAATTACGAAAAATTTTTACTGTGCACACCTATACATATACGTACTTTTGGCTTGCTCCCTTTTAATTCCGCGTCAAGTTGAACCGTAATTTGTAAATTCACACAAAGAAGCAGTCCATGTATGGCACATATATACATACATACATACATACATACATGTGTTTTTCCGTTGAATAACAAATTTTTAGGCACAAACGTTTGATGCATCATAATTAAATCTATAACATCTAATACATCCTGCAAGAGATAGGAGAGACATTTGTTGCTTAAAATGTTTAAAAGAATTTTGTATTATTTCCTGATGGTATTAAATGGTATTATTAATTTTTAAACATTAAACACGTACAATTTTAAAGGAGCAGTATATGTATATCCTATACCGAACAAATCTTTGTTTTGCTTAAAAATTTTTTTTAACCGCTTCTACTTAGTTCGATTTTATTCGGTTTTCGATCGCATCTATCCGTATTGTATATACACAATTTTTAATAACAGCCACCAACGATTCTACGTATAGCTATGTATATATACAAAATCGGTTCTGACCCTTATTGATGATGATAATGATGTACTCGATCATTTTGAATGATTCATCGATCTCGTTCATCCGCAACTGCATTTACTGCAACGAATAATAATAATAAACGTTCGATGGGGAGAATCAAGCATATTGGTCGGTTGCAACAACGATTTGAAAAAAAGTGTCAAACAGAAGCAAAGACGTTTGATACGCATAAAAATATACACCTAGTACGTGTTTATAAATATAATAATGGTGAGAAAGAGATGAGGATCGATAGGTTCATATAGGGCGTCTAGGCAAAAACAAAGGGGCGCTTGCACAGCGGACAAACGTCGGTATTTTTCAAGCACTGGCGCAAGCAGGTGTCGTGAAACAGGTGGTGGCACGGGGTGACCCGGGCCCGGCTCATCGCCGAGAGGCAGACCGCGCAAACGTCGTCGAACTCGCGGATCTCGGCCCTCGTGGCGCGCCTGTACCTCGAGAGTACCCGGCGTTCCTTGATCAGGGCCGGCCACTGGGTGCGCGCGAGCTCCTTGCCACGGAGCACCACGTTCAGGTAGAACGACGCGAATAGGAAGCGCCAGGGGGCGACTGGCAGGAGGAGAAGGACAAAGAGCCCCGAGAGAGACACCGTGAACAGCCGGAGTACCAGTGGCCCGTACAGGTGCTCGAGGCTCTCGAGTGTGTCGAGCTCCAGGTGGCTCAGCGCTGACGGAAACATGCTCGCGAACACCTTCTCCGTGGCCATGTAGTAGCTCAGTGTTAGGAATACGTAGACCAAGGATGGCCTGCGAACAGTACAATTACATATATTATGTTTATGTAATGTATATATATGATGTATGGTGTTGTTTTTTTTTTTTTTTCAATTAACCCTTCATGCGTGTATTTTGTATCAATTATCGCGTTCTGTAAAACGTAATAGTTTATACAAGCCGTTAATGAGAATAAGGTTCTAATTAGCTGAGAACTTCTGTGCTGTTGATTTTCGAATATTTATTTGTTAATTTAAACGGGATTATTAAAGAATTTTAAAAGAGCGTACAATAAATCTGAGTAATGGTACTTTTTTTGGCAATTCTGAAGCCCCAAATGGGAGTTTGGCTCATCTACGTAGGCGCTATAAGCCGCTAAAAATTGAATTTTTAAACGCTTCGCGTTGCGGTAGTGACATTTTGGACCATTTTTTTACACTCAATAACGGCCACGCAAAAAATTGTTTTTTGTCAAGTCACCCATATATACGTTCCGTAGTACGCGTATTGTCGCGCGTCAATAGCTTTAAAACATGGAAATTTACCGTATCCGACGAAATTAAAAATTAGCCACGCGTGTACATATACATATATGTATTATCTCAGCGGAGGGGAAATCAAGTGTTTTGTGATTATTTGTACAGTCAGAATAACACCGGGCATGATTACAAAATGAATGAGCCGTAAAAAACAAGTTAAGGTTATTGGTCCGAATTAAATAACGAGATGAATACGCACACATATATATATATATATATGTAAAGAGAGACAAGGACATCGTGAGCGAGACCCCGCTAGTGGTATACTTGTAATTTTATGTAGGTACACGGCAGTACATACACAATCTATACGGAATTACAACGATTATGTCAACAAAAAAAAACAAAAAAACAAAAAAAAACAAAAAAAACAAAAAAAAAACATAGAAATGCACCTACGTTGGGTACACATGGCAAAATACGTGAAAAATATATGTACTTCAATACACGAAGGCTAAATAAAATTTTCGAAATCACGTCTCGAGCTACAAAGCGAAACTTTTTGGCCGGCACTAATCGTGCAATCTCTTGAAAAGTTAATAATGTTAATAATACAGGCATATTTGTTTCAAAACGATTAAAAACGAATTATGGTAATAAAGAAAAAGTACACGAAAATTCTTGATTATATGATTCTAAGAAGCCCCAAATGAGCTCTAATTCTGGGACTTCTTATCACAGTGGAAGCCATTCCGCATGCATTTTTTTAAATTTTAACCGGCGAATCGATAATTTATTGCTACGAGAAACATTTTACATATATATTTCTAACGAAAAAAAAAAAGTTTGCATGAATCATCATGTTTGGACACCGAAGCCAAGCGCAAAATACACACTCATGTTTTCCAGGTAAGCAGTAAATACCACGAGAACTCTGGTTTTGAGAAAACAAAAATGGTATAATAATGAGTGACGATGGAAAAAGAAAAGAAAATTCAAGCGCGAAAGCGTTGGATGGTGTCGCACTTGTAGTCGTGAAGAGCCTGCTCGAAGGAAAAAACGAGGAGGGTAAAGACGAGGGTGATGAAAAAAGTGACGGCCTTGGTCCACTCGAGGACGAGTTTGGTGGCGGACATGGCCAAATGCCGTACGCTCGAGGTGGCGGTTAGAGTGACGTAGGGCGACCAATCGCCCTTGGACGCGAGTTCCCTCACGTAGCCGAAACAGTAGGCCAACACGTTGTAGAACATCAGGGTGTACAGGCAGTTGAGCTTCCGAGTCGGACCTGCCGGTAGGAGCAATCGATCGGCCAGCGCCATAAAGGCCAACTGCTCGGCAAGGGCCGAAAAGTTTCGCATCCGCAGGAGCTCCTCCTCCGCCCTCTCGAGCGGCTCGTACAACCTCCTCAGCCAACTACGCCCCAAATCTGCCAAACTCCCGAAAGCATCAATTAATACACGTGCGACCCTTAAAACTAAACTATATATATATGTATACATGTCTCAATTATTACAACGGGGGGAGGGGGCGGTCGTTATAAAATGCGTAATCATCTCGCGCGTCTTTCAATCATCGTCACCCGTTCACGGCCAAGAGCCGTCACGGGCCGAATTTACATATTAATTGTTTCACCGTGGACTGATCGACCGATGGGGGTTGTAAAATATTAAAAACTTCACAAATATATACATGTATAACGCGTACTCGTCACCGGCTGTTGTGGCCGATTACATCAAAAAGGCTGTCACGGGTAGTCGCGTTGGCGTGGCAACTCTCGTCTCTATCCCTCGCCGACGAGAGAGAGAGAGAGAGAGAGAGAGAGAGAGAGGGAGTCCATTACGTTCGTATACGTCGGTGTGTCCTCCTCCGTGCGATCGGCACGGAAAGGGAGATATAAATACGGGGCTCGACTCCTGCGACTCGTCCACTACGTCCGCGAGTACATCCGGTGGCTGTATACCCTGCATCTACGCGGCTCATATACCGATCACGCGCGCCGAGACCAGTGCCGGTGTATACTTATACGCACTTCAACTTGCGATCCGTAGGTATAACGACTAAGCTCTCTTTATCCCGTCTCACGGCGCAAAGTCAATATAATATATACGGTTGTGCATACACGTATAATACACGCCGATCGTTGGTCAACTTGGCTTTGCCGACACCGATTTCTCCACCATCAGGTAAATATATACGTACATATATACTGTAGGGTCTTTTTGGGTTTTTTTTTTTTTTTTTTTTTTCGTCCTGACCTTGTACATACATCTACGGAATAATAAATACATATACATGTGGTGTCACGCATTATGTATAGGATCTTGTTTTCGCAATCCATCTGTGCGTACCTTATTATATTATGGTACTGTCGAGCGAGAAGAAGATCGGTAAATCCAAAACACACCGATTTCACAACGAAACTCGTGTTTTCTTTTTTCTCGCGCAATTCAAAGTTAACTCCGTGTTTGTTTGTTTTTGAAAGCCTATATGCTCAACACATTTTTACACGTACGATAGATCGACAGCTCTCGAAATTAAGTATTGTCTTTTTCTCGAGCTATCATTCCATAGAGTTACTCGAACCGTGTACGGAATTGCCGGGAAAACAAAGCCGGTGCCATCTAATAAAAAAAAAAAAAAACAGTAATAATAATAGTAATGGTATGTAGAGATTGTTTCTCGCAGTTCCGAAAAACTGTCGGGGCAAACAGTCGGAGAGCACATACGAGCCACGCGGGTTTGTCGGAAACCATGTAAATACGAATTGACGCTATCAATTAGCGCGCACTGGACCACGCAAAGCCATACATTTATGTATGCAAAATACACCTGCACTTGCAAAGTATGTCCAAGGGGGAGGGGGGGGGGGCATTGTTGGACGCGTACCTTGGACCTCGGCGATGCTGCCGCGAACCGCTTCCATTCTCTCGTCTATCGCATTTCCAAGTCACAGAGCGTATACGTGTATATGTGTATACAAGAGAGAAAGAGTCAAACCAACACGACCATAGGTGTAATAGAGTGCGCCAGCCACGCTATTTCTAGAACTTTTGCTCAGCCAACGCGCTCGCGTACTCTCGGGTCAATTACAGGCTTCTTGTATCTTCGCCACCGCGCGCTACGACAGTACAAGTATCCGACAGCACTTTTGGACGCACGTATCCTCGGTATACTCGCGCCGTGCCCCTTCGAAATTTTATAGGTGTAATCAAAAAATTGTTTGAAAACAAACACGAGCGCGGTTGCGGGAAAGCGCGTGTCCCGCGACGCACTAAGTAGCCGCAGTTGCCGAGAGAGCGCATAGACCTGACGCTCGGAATCGACGGAATCGCGCCTGCAAAATTGCTATAAATAAAAAGCACACGGGCGCAAAATCGTCGTCGGATTTTTACCCACGTGTATATAGGTATAAGCTGTTTGTGCCCGTTGTTTGTTTGTTCGAGGGTTGGTTTTTTTTTTTTTTTTTTTCTCGATTTTTCTTGACTTTGATCAAAACAGCGGTGTTGGTCGAAATTTTTGTACAACTCGACCATAGTTTTTTCGTCAAATCAATACGACAATAAACGTCACCAGGAAAAAGTTGTCGCCCAAAGTTTGTGACAACAATAATACTTTTTTAAAAAATACCTACGTTATCCGGAGCCATTAGTGCGGCGTGTGATTTCTTTCTTTCTTTGTTTGTTTGGTTTTTATTTTTTTTAATTTGAATATGTGATCAACTATCGAGAATTCCGACTTCGTCATCGAAGAGCGAGTACCTATATATGTTGTATGCACCGAGGGACGCTATAACTTGACGTCATTTGGTCGTCGAGTGTACCATACCCGTGTATATAGATTCTCGGTAACTATAAACGATAAACTATACTATACGTATTAATTCTGATAGCCACTTGTGTGTATACTTAATGAGGTTTCGAAAACTTTATTTTACCGATAAGCTGTAGTTTCAAGAAATAGATTATAGTGTCCACCGTATTGTTTCTCAATTGTTTTGGCTAAATAGTCTTGTTTTCAAAGTTAATTATACATTTTTGGAAACAGCGCCGATTCCAGTTAGATTGACAGGACGATTCGAAGGATCGGTAAGCGCGTAGGGAGAGAGAAAAATCGGTATGGTCGGCGTTGGCTTATCGGCGCGCGCCCTCGGGGTGCGACAAACAAACATCGGAGAGGCACTCGTGCGTTACCAGAGTTTAACAATCGCGCGGTCGGGGGTACAGAGAGAGCGACGATCTTTTAACGCTCTCTTGTTCCGCGAATGCTAAGTATTTTCGGCGATCGGTTGGAGGAGAGTCTTGTGACGGGCGCTTCATTACGTATGCGACGAATATTTGACTTCACCATTGTATGTATTAGGTATATACACCCGGCACTACAACGATTCGCGGACAGGTGCATCAATTTTTTTTTTCATTTTCCAATCCACTCGATGGTAAATCAGCGAACTATTTAAAAATGCGGTACAAAAATTAACGTCCGCAAGGCCATTAGCCTGCGGAGCTAAAAAGCACAAGCTCACGTATCTATCTGTACATACATGTGTATGTATATGTAAGAAAATTTCCGATAAGTGAAAAACTCCCCCGGCGACTAGTACGACTTATCGCACGATTAGTGGTGTATGCGCGTGTATATATATATAGCGAGCAAAAATCGAAGATAAAAAAGAAAATAAATGAACAATTGTTGGGTAGCTACAAATTAATGTCCCTTTTTCAAATGGGGTCAATGTCTCGTTATCGCTGCTGATTCACATAATTGTTCCTGTATAGTATATAATATATTATATCGTCTTGCATTGATGCATTATTAAGTCGGCGTTGCCGCCGAAAGTTTCCGCGTGGAATTTCAGAGCTTGCCAGATATTGTGGCCAAGTGTATACGAGCGAGTCCACAACAAAATTTTCCGCATTCGTTCCTCATTTTTTAGTAATAATTATTTGGCTCGCAATGCCCTTTTTTTATTTTTCATGCAATTATTATAACTACGCGTATCATCTATGTGGAGATAATTTTTGCATGTAAATTGCGGAAAAACGGTGTCACCTCTGACTGAAATCCGCGTTGTCGAGATTTTTTTTTCCTCGTAGGGCGTGACATCGCGAGAAAAACGAGTCCCATTTCTAGGGTGTACCTAAAAAAAAGATTTTATTAAAAAACGGGGGTTGAATTCGGGATATTTTTAGTGGATTTACTCATATTAAGTACGTGTACTTCCCTGTACTCCCTCACGTGCGGCTGTTGTGCACATTGCAGTAACCGCAGAGACAGACAGAGAGAGAGAGAGAGAGAGAGAGAGAGAGATAAATCAGAGCTGAGCTGCCGACACGAGAATAAGCTTTCATTTCTGGTTTTCAGTGGTAAGGAGATCAGAGCAAACAGCGCAAAGATGCCAGTCTCCAGGAACACGTGCTGCTTAACCCTCGTTGTACTCCTCGTCCTCTTGCTTCGTGACGCGCTCACACTGTGAGTATACATCATATTTTTATTTTTTTTATTTTTTCAATTTTCATACTTTTTTCGCTTAGCACATAGCAAAGTACCGATTTATCGGTATCTCCCTTTATACTTACCGATTTATCGTCTAATGGTCTTAAAAATTTGGGCAGCTCGATTGGACGTCCTTACCCTACCATAATCGAACGCTCCGAGCAGAGGTCAGAGTGCGAGAGCTGCGCTGGCGAGTGCGACAAGTGCAAGTACGGCCACGCGTTTTCGAGATTCTGTGGCGTAGAAGAGTGCCTCAAGGTAAATACATACTTATACCTTGTACATATTTTGTAGTTTTTTCAAAATACTTGGGCATATTTGTTTCAATTTAAAAAAAAAAAACAATTTTTTTTGTTTTTGATTTACACGTACACATGAATCGCGTTGATGAAAAAAAAAAAAAAAAAACGTTTTAAATTTCAATTGGTTGCATGTCCATATTATTTAACAGTAGTAATAGTAATTGTTGTTGTTGTTGTTCATGTTGTTGATGTAATTGTTTTGACGGACTTTTATCTTGGATATGAATGCGGATGAAGGCAGATCTTCCCGGAAAATTTTCACTCTCGACAATAATACAATTAAATTACGAAGAATGTACACGTAGCTATACTTATCTGTTTGTTCGGGATAAAATTGTTTGGTGCAAAAAAAAAAAAAAAAAAAAATTTACGGACACGATCGCTTTGTAAAAGTATATAAACATTCTTGCGATTTCACCTTAAAATTGGGGGAGGGGCTTGAAGAAATTTTCTAACGTTGACGCAAGGTATAGTCCTAATAATTTTTTCGCGATGTGAGTTCCGAAACAACATCGGTATCACATGATTGGTGTATGATTGCACGCAATCGACGGAAAAATTGTTAAAAAAAAAAAAATCGATATAAATTCACAAAGAATCAGCAACAACAGTTATACTTCTATTGCACACTTGTGCCGATAAATGCAACAGTCGTGCCTTATGTAATACATGACAAAGCGAATAAGTACTTATATATGTATATGTACGTGGCAAAATGGCTTTGAACTCGAACGACGATTAATCATAAAAACCAACTTAATTACAGGGTCCCGGCGAATCGTGCGGTGGCATGCGCAACAAGTACGGCGAATGCGGTGACGGAATGTATTGCCGGTGCAACAAGTGCAACGGCTGCAGCAGCGACACCCTCGAGTGCCACTCGGTCGTCTGTCCGATCTACGAGACAAGGTCGGGCCATCCCGTCGCACATACCAACAGCCTCATGTTGCTCGACAAATAATGCGACGCGCACATACGATAGGTGTTTTCTTTTTCCTTTTTTTTTTTTTTTTTTTTTTTTTTTTTTTTTTTTTTTTTCCTCTCAAAGGAATAGAAAAATCATCGCGCGTATGTAGGTCACTTGCGGGACTCTTGGGTTTTATTACCATGTGATTCTCCATTCCATGCGCGAGACGTTGCGTCTCACGCGCTCTAGGTTATCATTTTGTTATTTTGAACGACTATTGTGATAGGCCGGACTGCAGGGTTTTCATTTTTTTACTTTAATTTTCTATTGGCCATCTCGTTGGCGGGTATGTGTTGGCCATCAGTTTACGATAACATAATATCAATGATCTCCGAGAACTTGGCATTTATATGAATGATTTTTTTTAATTTTTTAATTTTTTTTTTTTTTTTTTTTTCTATTACATCATGGTGAATGAGTTTTAGGAAAAGTATATTTAGTTTAAGTATATATTTTTGTGCAGACAAAGGTTAGGCATTTTTACTGGCTGTGAAAAGGAAAACGGAGGAAAGAAAAAAAAAATAAAAATCATGTACATTATTATCATTTTCGAGCACTCGGCTGTAATTGTGAGGAAAAAATATAACGTCGTTGAGCAATGTATTATTTGTCCGATGTTTTTGTTTACTGGGACGAAAAACAGCGTCGCGTTGAGCCAGTGAGACATTTTTTCTCGTTGACAGTATTTTAATTATCTAGTCAATCAATGTGCATTTAATCAATCAAATATATCGCGTTTGATTAAACTAAATATTTTTCATTCGCTTATACTATACACATGATTCCCAAGATTTTTGTCTATCGAAGATGAGTTAGTCTGTATACTGTGTATTGTACAGTATACAAATATACGTATAAACTTACATTCTTCATTTAAGGACAAGAATATAGTGTAATAACCAATAATTATGGATTCCGAATTATACATATTTATATTTCTGAGTAGGAAATGATAGAAGATACAGCCAAGAAATATTAAAATAAATCAACTTAAAAAAACTGTCAAAATAATTTTTTTATTCTATATAATGTCAATAAAAATTGCATACACATACATGAGGTTTCTTTCAATTTATTTAAAGTAAATCATATCTCAACTCTAGTTTCGTCATAAAACTCACCGGATTTGCATTAGAGCCCCAATTATATTTTTGATTCGTGCAGAATAATTAATTGCGTTTATTTAAAAAAATACAATATATAGTTTGTTTAATTATATATAACTTGAGTATAACGTCTTGCAATAATAACGCAAATACTTTTGAAGACTCGTCACATATAATATTTTCATTTATCCGTTTCTTTGGTCCTTATTGAATTAGTTAAAAAAATATTCATATATACATAAAAAATATTGTTTTGCAACATGTTATCCAACAATCCTAACGAGTAACGTAAAACAATGCCTAAAAATCAGTGAATTGCCCAACGTACGAGTAAACTTTGTCAAATTGTACTCAATACTCGCATCTGTTTTTGTTTATTTGGATAAAAAGTCATATTATTAAACATTGTTGACCACGTAAATAATCTTTAATAATAAGCTACTGTTTACCGTGTGCTGTAAAATTTTTTTAACGAACGTGGACTTGAAAAAATTATCGTATGATTCGTCACTACACTATGTATAATCTTAAAAAAAAAAAAAATCCACATAAACATGAAATATATACGTATGTACAAGTCGGTGTACATTAAAGCGCGGTGCATAAAACATGATCGCTATAATACTAATTACATAATCATTTATACTGTGATACAATCGTGCACATAATATGTAAGTGATACAAATGTATACAAAATCAAAAAAGAGAGGAGAAGCAAATTACCTGAACAATAAAAAGCATGACTACAAATGAATACGAGCGATGTTTAACACATCGTTGCAAGCACATGCACGAAAAATGCTCTTAAAAATCGGTTGATATCTTTCCCGATCGTCTTAATATCCCTCGACATGATGAATTCCAAAATTATACGTAGTATCGCGCATCGCTGAAAAACTTTCAAGTTCACGGCGCATCACCGGCACGCGCGACGCATACACCCATTGTGGAAATGAAGCGCGTTACTTATTGTCGTTGCCGCACCGGCAAATCAAGCCCGTGCCAACGGTGCGATGACGTCTTCCCGTGTATCGGCTCACTGTCCATTCTGCTTGAGGAGCTTTCGCGTCCTGAATCCACGGAAACCCGCCTGGATCCTGGTTGCCGCGACCTGTTCCACTTGCTGGCGCTTCCGCACGAGAAAGCCCCGCACGCCCGCCTGGATCTTGGTCGCCGATTTCTCCTCCAACGCCCTCCCCGGCTGCTCCTCCTGAAAATCATCATCGTTACAAAACAAACCCTATACGTATATATATATATATATATGTTATACATCGTACGAACACACAGCTCGCGCATTGTTTTTTCATTGTTTCGTGCACGCGTCGACAGCGAGAAGGGGGGGGGGACTATTTTTAAGCTTCCGCGCGCGCGTGTCCGACCTGTTGGGGAGAAAAAGATGATGAGCTGCAAAAAAAAAAAAAAAAAAAGAAAAAAAGGAAGAATTTCTGGCTTATGTAGATCAGCCCTGTGTTCATCACCCCCGGCTGTATACATGAGCCGTCGAATATCGTTATTTTTTTTTTTTTATCTTCCCCCGAGCGCGTAAGGATGACTGGATCTCCATTTTTAGAAACGGAGGGAGAAGAGATGCTCGTATATTATTTTTGACGCGCAATTTTTCTCTCATCCGACGCGGAGTGTCCGTGTTTTATTATATATATATAAAAAAAAAAAAAAAAAATGAAGTATAGTTGATCCTATATTATGTGTACCATCGTGTCGTCGAGGGCGTCAGCGCCGATCTCCTTGGCCTTGCGTTCCTCCTGGAGCTGCTTGCGCACGCGGTAGCCCCGAAAACCCGCTTGGATCTTAGCCGCGGCCTTGTCGACCGGCAACTGTTGTTGCTGCTCCACAGCCGCCGCCGTTAGCTTTTCCTTCGACATTTAACTCTCGAGGAATCTACGCGCGCACCACTGTACAATCGAGTAAAACCAACACACACACACACACACACATATATATATAAACACACGTACACTTTGTCCTATAGTCCTCGGAGGGGTGCCGTTAATTTATATCGAGGAGGACAAGAAAAGCTGGAGCTGATGTGCCGATCGAAAAAAAAAAACCAACTGACCGATCGGCCGATCGCAACTCGCTCGATCATCCGTCACTAGATTTAAAATTCCTTTCTTCTCCACCCCCTCAATAACCGCTGGTATTTATGGACGGATTGTTTTATTTATTTTTTTTTTTTTCAATCTCTCGTCCCAACAGGGAGGAAAAGCGCGCTAATGCCAAAACACTCGATGGATCGACAAAGAGGCACGCCAACGCGCTCTCGGAGCAGTTTTAACCCCCTCGCGCGAGCTCTCTCGATCCGCGCGATTGAATGAGCCGCTCGTTATTCGTATATACGTTCATATAACGACTCCCCTCCCTCCCTCTATCACCGATGTACAGCCCTACTAGGAAGATAATCTAAGCCCGCCACCATCCATATACCTACACGCACCACATCGCGCATCGGCCAGTGTGTTGAACAGATCGGCTTCCCCACCCTCGCCTTTTCCATCCCGCCACCGAGCCTATTAATATCTCTCTTACGCGCGTGTGTTGCTTGATTTTATACACATTACACCTTCAACCATCAACCTCTCTCTATATATGTATACATATATATATACGTGTGTGTGTGTGCATGGAGCTAGTTGCGCGTCACGCGCGAGCACAAGGGGGGAGACCCGTAGGTATAACATCATGCAGAGAGCAACCACGTCACCGAGAGCACATACACATATATAGGTCTCTCTCTCTGTCCGATGATGCCAAACATCAGCCGCGCAACTTCCGCCCCGGCGTTTTAGCTAAATCCATCCGACCGAAATTTTGCACCATCAGCTATATCCCAGCGGCTCTTACTCCAACTTGAATGTATACGTATACTTATACCCACTCTATACTCTCCCACATCGTCGTATTTTCCCTCTCTGACGTTTTGCAACTTTAGCCATTCACACCTTTGCGACGATATACATAATGATGTACAACGTGTCTATATACCAAAACTCTTTTATCTCGATCTCTACTTAATTGCCGAGCTTTGCTAAGTATATAAATTGCAATTACGTGAATAGCGTACACAGTACAGGTACAGAGCGACATAATACTATGTACATATAAACGCCGATCTGTGTGTCCATGTACCTAATATAGCCGTCGACTCCTCTGTTATTTACGTAAAGGTGCCATTTATGGCCGATCCCCCAAATACCGATCTATGCGTATATATATATATGTGTACGTCTCTCCGATCGTGAATGTTTGAGTTGTCGATCAACGCATCGGCTATACGAGAACGTAGGAGGAAAAACAGGTCGGGATAAAAGTGCCGTGGCACTTTTTTCGGTCACAATAAGTATATATACATGTACACATTATATTTACACCAGCTTCTTTTCGTGTGAGACGTAGATTATTCTTGTGCACGAGAGAGTTGAAATGTATGGAAAAATCGGTTATCCAATATCTGCGACAAACGCGCTCGGTTACGTTTGAGGACAATTATACGCTTAATTAAAACCAAAGAGTGTAGAGTACCATCTCTTGAGCCATTTATATACTTGACAATTGCCAGTGTTGTTCTCCATCATGATGAGCAATTAAAGCTAACGGGTGAAGAAATAAAAGACGATATACGCATAAAGTGATTTTTTTTTTTCTTTCTTGTTTCTACATCCTTCTCCTTTTATTTCTTTATTTTTGTCAGAGAATAAAACTGTTTTTCTCCTCGTCATCGTCACATTTGATTGTATTGCATGTTGTATGTCATTTACAGTACATATCGTGTATACATATACTGATTCGCATATATATATTTATATTTTTGTGGTAAAATATTGTTTATATACATTTAAAAGTTAATTCATATATGTACTACGTAGGTGGGGTTCAGAATCTTAAAACTGATCTACCGATAGAGTCTAATAATTAGAGATACAGCTCGTGTGGGATGGTGGTATTTAAAACTTGGCTAAAATAACTGTATATATGTAAAAGAAGCTTTTAGGATTAATTTTAAAGCCAACAATCTAATATAACGTAAAATATTTTCTTGTTCATATATCGTATACGTAAGTAGATTTGTATATATATTGACTAGAGATTGTATGTAAATATTATAGGGAAGCAACGTTCATTGGAGCATAAAAGCTTCTATCGTGTACAGTACAGTTACTATAGGAACAAAAATCACAGCATGTCTCTATAATGTAACGTGTGAGAAAAAGAAAAAAAAAATCCAATCGTGAGCACATTAATAACTAATTCCGTGATGATATATGACGATTTTTTGATTTCTACGCATTAAAATCGTATAAATAAAGTTACACCGCGTACTTTGATGTAGCGTAACGGAGCATCTATAGAATGCACGCGAGCGCTCGCTAATAAGCGCGGCTTATACATATATATATGTACGCGGGTACAAGAATGTTGACGAGTCTTCGATTTCGGGAGTGCTTTTTCGGTCCCTCTCGACGTTGCACGCGCTCATCAATCTTTCGGCTAAATTTAGAAGAGAAGAAAATATTAAACACACCACGGAGATGATAAATATATATACATATATCGAGGCTCGATTCAACGATGCAACTTGATAAAAAAATCGTGGTATGTTGTTGCCGTAAGTGCGTAAGACGTGATGGAAAAACGTCTAACTTTCATCGGTTGTTTTCTCGCTCGCTTGCCGTAGCTCCGATTGTTCCTCGGTCTCCCTCGTTGACGTGGCTTTGCCTCCACTTTTAGAATCATCCCGACCGACTTGCGTCACCGCTCCTTCCGTCGATCCATCACCGAACGGCCGAGCATCAGAGGCAGCTTTCGAGCTTTTGACCTCCTCCTCCTCTTTTTTGGCGACGCTTCTCAACATACCCTCACACTCGTTGATGTTGTTTTTGGGAGTATGCGAAGAATCCACCTTGCGCCGCTCGTCGGACAACAGGTCGTCGCTCGACTCTGCTGCCTCGCTAGCCACGGGGGTCTCGTCGCTACGCCCCGAATTTGACGACTCGCCCGTGGCTTTGAGCCCCTCCTCGTCGAGACTCGTTATTTCCTCGATGACGGCGCCCTTGGGGCTGCTCGGGCCGGCGGAGGCCTCGTTGAACACGTCCTCGACGCTGGTTATAAAGTTCAAGTAGCTGCTCTGCAACATCATGGTCTGAGCGTCCCCGGGGAGGAGCACCACGTCGACAAACGGCCTGGCCGGGGCGACCATGGGCCCGAGTAGAATTTTGCTCAGCAGCTGCTCGACGCTCGGTTTGGGGCCCAACGGCTCCTGGGAATCGGTATCGGAGCTGGTTGCCCCCTCGGCGTCGTTGGCCCCGATCGCGGGAGCGACCTTGAGCCCGAGGTCGAAAATCGGCAGGGCGATGCAGTCGTGGAACTCCCCGGTGTGTTGGATGTTGCCCTCCGCGAAGGGTTTTTCCAGCGGGACTCCAGGTGTGGTCGCGCTGTCTTGCACCAGTGCGCTCTCGCGGGTGAGTCTCTGGCGGGACTTTTTCTGCAGGTCTGACACGGACTTGGTCAGGCCCACGACGGTCAGTAGGTCCAGTATCGACGCGTCCGACCGGCCGGATCTCGCCGAGTCGGTTTTCACCGTTGCTACGTCCTCGTCGAGTTGCTCGACCTGCAATTTGGCAAATGAAGAGCACGTATTTTTATGTAACTCATCATTCAACATTTAATTTTAATCACACGTATTGCCATTTATTTTCCTTTTTTTTTTTTTTTTTTTCATCATATATTTCCAATAATTACCGAGAAAAAATCTGAAATAGAAATATGTGCCTTTTCATATTATACATATTGACCTTCCCAACCAAAATAGGCCACTATGCGTATATAATAATAATACGTACGCACGCGTGACGTCATTCGACGCGTTGCACCGACAGAGGCAAATCTAAACTGAATGATGAACGAAAATGACTGCAATCAGTTTTTTCATACTTATACATGCATGTTTATATACGTGTGTGCACGTAAAGTTTGCACGGCCAACCGATAAATAATATTATTTAGATGCGCGCGAATCGTTGTTCATTCACTCTCCGAAGTTGATCAACGTTTTTTCTTGTTTTAATCGTTGTTTTCTATTTTTGGATTGGCATCTTGATCGGTATGCAATGTTTATCGAAATTCCACATACACCTATTGCACGCACGCACGTATACTAAAATAAAGTAATCAAACTTCATCTCGGAGTCTCTTAATTTTTGTGTTTTTCTTTTCAAGTAGGGTGTACCAGATTGCCGCGGAGCAACATATATATGTGTACAATGTGCGTCAAGCCATACAGTTACGGTGACTCGTGATATTAAGCAGGAAAAAAAAAAAAAAAAAACTCACCGTAGGCTCGCTCTCCTGAATAGACGGAACGCTATTCAGCGTGGAACTGCGAGCTTGAGTGCTACTAACTAGGCGACGGCGCGTCAGGAATCCACGAATACCTGAAAATTCAGTTAAATGTAATCAACACAATATATAATATCGTCGAAGCCAACGAGACGCACCAGCTTGTATTTTCGTGACCGCTGATAAGAAAGAGCTGCTGCTCGAGGAAGAAGCGGCTAAATTTTCAGGCGTTCCATCATCGGAAGATTTGTCGTACGTGGCCTGCCTCTCGATCTTTCTCCTCCTCTCGTCACCTCGGCTCTCTTCTCGCCCAACGTCGGTCTCTTCGCTCGGATTTTCCTGCGCACGATCGGCATCGTTTGTCTCAATCGACGGATCAATCGAGTCGAGCTGTTGTTGTTCCTCCGTACATTGACACGAGCCCGATGAGCTGCAGCGACGGCAAATGCGATGATCCTCGGCCAATTGCTCGGTGTTCCGATCATTGGCATCATCGATGACACCCTTCCCCTCGTCCTCATTGTTTTCGTTACCAGAGCCGCGGCTCGTCACCTCCTCCTCCTCCTCCTCCTCCACCCTCGGTTCCTCTGACTTGCTCGCTGGTGACTCCAAATTGGCCGATCTCTCGCTATCGTTGTTTTCCATCCGCAAAGTGATCTCCGTCGTTGTTTTTATCGTTTGCTCGTTCACGTTGACAACAGAGCTATTCGCGCCCTCGCGTTCTTGCGCTTTGGCGACAACAGCCTCGTTCATTGCGCTCGTCGCTGTTACTTTTTCGTCCGTCACCAACCGATTGCTGGTAGTCGTGACTGTTGCTCGCGATTCCTCGACGTAGTTCTTGGCCACCGTCGTTTCTCCAGCCTCCAGAGCCGAGTCCAACGATTGTTCCTCGTTCCCGACGCAGCTCTTTTCGTCCAAAGTCTCGCCGATCTTTTCGCTGTCCCGATCGCCGACCACTCGACTCTTCGCCACGGCAGAACCACCTCGGCCCGAGAGCTCCTCGGCGACGCTCGCGGACGAGCACTTTGTGCGCTCCGAGTCGACCAGTTCCCCCAGTGCGTTGTTGCAGCCGCTGTCCCTCCAATGGTCCGCCTCGAGCGAAGAGACGGTCAGATCCGGGAGCGAGTCCAAGTTCAACTCCGGGACGATCGGCAGGCTCAGTTGGTCGAATACCGCGCTTGACCGATCCGAGTCCCCCATCGACTCCGCGGGTTGCACGTACTCGACCTCGTTGCCCCCGTTCCCTAAGATCTCCTCCAGAGAGCTCGTCACGACCTTGAGCACTTCCTCGTCCTCCGAATCTGGGGCGGTTTCCTCCCGTATCAAGCCCAAGTCTTGCCGAGCCCGCTCCGCGTTCCCATCGACCCCCGAACTCTCGTGCATCGGCAGCTCCGTCATTGGTTGCGGTGACGATGATGATACGAGGGTCGCGTACACCCGCTCGTCTTCTTCGAGCTGCATCTGCGACAAGGACGTCTCCGAACCCGGGCTCGGGGCCCTGTCGGGTATTATCACCGTGGTCACGTTGTCCGGGATCTCGTACGGCGAGCCCTCCGTCAGTATGTACGAATGCGGGGACAAGACCAGCCTAGCATCCTCGCTCTTCCCACGTCCCTCTACCTCCTCCAGCTTGCTTCTCTCGACTTTGGGAACTGGAATCCCCCGGTTTTCATCGTCAGCGTTGCCACCTTCCACCCCCGCATCCTTATTACCCCCCGGTTCTTCAACTTCCCGGGGTGCGCCGATCCTCGTGGCCGTGGCGCCCACCTCCTCGTTTTTCGCGTCGATGATGGTCTCGATCCTTCGCCCCGCGTCCTCCAGCTCCTCCAGTTTCCGCCTGATCCCGTCCCCGCCAGTTGCCACCGCCGCCGCTTGACCATCCAATATCCGCTCTATCCGCTTCTCGGACTCTTGGATCTCCAAGAGCTTGTCCTGCATGCCCGAGCCAGCTCTGCAGTCCTCCTGCAACAAGACGCCCTCGATGCGCTTCTGGGCGTCCTGGATCTCCAACAACTTGGCCTTCAACGTCTCGGGTGGCTCGAGCGAGTCCGGCCTCTGCTCGTCGTCGTGGTCCACCAGCGGGTCTGGCGTCACGTTCAAGCTGTCGTGGAACACCTCCTCCTCCTCCTCCTCTGCCCCGTTGAGCTTGGCCGAGAGGTGGTTCTTGGGCCCAATGTCCGAGTTGAGGGAGTCCGGGGTCACAGGGGAGCTCTGGGGGGGCGAGAGGGCCGGGAGAACGAGCTCGTCTGCCTTGGTCTTGGCCGACTTGGCCGACTCTGGCGAGATGGGCGGCAACACGAGGCCGTCCGAGGCACCGCGGGCCGACACGCTTCGCGAGGACGACGACGACGACGAGGACGAAGACTTGGCGGAGGGTGGCTTCACCGCGGGCAAGGAGATCTTCGGCTCGGGGTCACCTTCGACCAGTAGCGGCTTGGTGGGCGTGTTCCTGCTCGATTGGCGCGAGAGCGGGGCGGACGACGAGGCCCGCGGGTGGCCCTCGGGGGACGGGCGCTGTTTCGCAGTGGCCCTGGCAAAGTCTGACTTGAGCGCCTCGACCTTTTCCTTGATGATCGCCGAGGTCTCGTTTATGACTTCCTGGACCTTTTCGACGTAGCTCGGCGACTGGAGCTCCTCGAGGCTCGACATCCCGGCCAAACCCTGGACGGCTTGGTTTCTCGCGCGATCCATGCCCGAGGGCCGACTGCTGGCCGATGGAAGTTTGATCGGATGAGCTGCTGGTAGTGACGACCGAGAGGACGACGAGGAGGAGGAGGAGGAGGAGGAGGAGGACGGTGAATTCCCGATGACAATGTCGGTCCTTTTTTTGCTTATACTGACGCTCTCGGTCGAGCGCGAGGACGACGAGCGCCTGCCCTGGCGCTCACTACGGACGATCTCGAGGCTCCTCTTGGTCGTGCTCTCCTCGGTGCTCATCGTCCTTCTCGTCGTGGTCGTCGTCGTCATTGTCGTCCTCTCGGTCGTCCTCCTTTTGCCATCCGTACCACTGCCACTGGACACGTGCACCGGGCGCTTCTCGTCGACCGTTGTCTTGTTGCTCCTCCGGTGCTTCTTCAGCTCCGTCTTTATGTCCTTAGTCAGGGGAATCTGCGACATGATCTTCGGTGGTGACGACGGTGACGACTCCTCGGAGCCTCGGAGTTTTTGGCAGCCAACGTTGGTCTCCAAACTCGCCGATCTTTGCCTGCCGGTGGTCTTTTTGCTCCTCGGCAAACCGGACATGATCGAGTCGGACCGGTTGGCGAGCTCGCGCACTTGCTCGGTGCTGATCTTCTGGCCCGTGTCCCCGAAGATGCTCCGGTGGCGCTCCAGCACCTTTGCCGTCTCGTTGAGGGACCAGCCGCTCGTCGGGCATTGCTGCCGGTGTCTCGCTGCTTCGGCGCAAGAGTGACGGTGCCGGCGCGGGCCAACCGGGCGTTGTTCCCTGATCGCCTGGTCGATGTCCCGCAGGACCCGTTGGCTGTTGTTCTTCGTCGTCCGTTGTTTGTCGTTGCCGGTGTCGCAGTTGACGTCGTACTGTTCGCGGAGCCGAAGGAGCTTCTCGAAGTGGTGAGCCGCGAAGGAGTAGATGTTCTCGGGCCTGTGGCGAATGACCTCCCTCGTCAGGCCCTCCACCGCCGCGGCCAGTCCTTGCGGGACCTTTGGGCTCAGGAACAGGTGCTCGCTGAGCTTCGACTCCCCGAGCATACTTTTGCTGACTGTTTGCGTTATTGCACCTTCTTCTTTTCCGGCTCCTGCTACTCTCTGTAAATCGTGGGACACAAATTTTACTGACAAATAAAAATAATCTACTTGCTGGACGCGACGATCATCTATATACTGTAAAAAATGCGATATGAGAATGTTATCATTATTATTATTTCGTTTTGCCAAAGAAAAATAACGTTTTGAAAAAAAAGTGTTCGATTTCGACAAAATTGGCGTATGAGAATTGAAAATTATAAATAATCGAGGCACACTCTTTTCCTTCTTTCTCAATCATGTGTACGTATAATACATCGAATGCAGTACAATTATCCTTGGTCTGCACCCTATACATATGCATATACACTTTTCCGCATGATGGATATTAAGTACTTGACGAATTAGGGCCACGATGATATATATTATTACGTATATACTTGTACGTACTTATGTGTCCACTCGAGTTTTATTTTCATCATCTTAACAAACGATGTAAAAATTAGGTCCTGTGCGTCAATAATGAAAATATCATTGAATTAAACGAGTATACCCTCATTTCATTGAAATATGTACTTCAAAAGCGTTAAACACGTCAACTCTCGATCGAAATGCACATTACACTTATTTTTGGAGGAAAGTAAAATTAATTGCAATATCAGATGTAGGTGTTATTTGAAATTTGAGTGATTAAAAAAAGAAAAAAATCGACAATTTACGTACTAATCTTACATCTGAGGAGTTTTTTCGCTCGGCGCACTGGCAGAACTTCGCGTTCCGCCTACACTTGTAAGGTCGATCGATTTTTAGTTTCTACGGTCGCTTGACGACGGCAGCGTAAACGACGGCATCACAAATCAAATACCCACAGTTGTTGCACGGCACGTGCGTATATTTGTCAAGTGATGTCTATACTTACTGCGCTTGTGTACGTATACAACACTGATACGAGATACGAGTCGAAACGACGGGCATTTTAACATGTTCCTGCTGATTTAAAATCGTTAACAATTGGGGTTGTATGAGCCAAGTACAAGGCCCATTATTTAATTGATACTTTTACAATGCAGATAATAGTGATAATGTAAAACGAGTACGATAACAATATACATTTATTTACACAAAATATAAAAATATAAATATTTTGCTCAACAAGGTGACAACATGTTCGTTATTTCTTCATCTTTGGCGAATTGTAGAAGATACTCCTTTTCCAAGGGATGCAACACTTTTCCAGGTATCACAAGACAGTGCAGTGGTGAACCAAGATCTTCTATGCTCATTTTTGAAAGGGTACATGTAACAATTTTTTGACTATCTGATCCAACTCTTGCCAGTCCCACAGCAAGACTCGAAGTTGTCAGACCTGTTTAAAAAAAAAAAAAAAAAAAAAATGAATAAAGACCTCACGAAAAATTGAAAATCAAAAGATTAATTGCATTAAAAAAAATTTGTAATACTTACCCAAGTTTGTTTCATTCTTATTTTTTATAATCCGTAAGAGTATGTTTGATGCTTCTGCTACTGACATAAACTTGGGTGGCATGTATTCTTTTTTTTTCTTCAAAATGCTTTCTGGAGTGGGTTCTTTCACTTTGATATCCAACAGGCAAAGAGTATGCAGGCCTCTTTGATAATTTTCTAGGATTTTATCATAAAAGCTGTCTGGTTGCCAAGTGTCTGTCCAAAAAGGTATGGAAACTACCTCTCCGTAGGAGTACAATTGTAAACCACAACAGCCAACAGCGTTTATTATGGAAGCATTGTGCACCACTTGAACTTTAATGTTCTTTTCTTGAGCTCTCAAGACTAAGTCTGAGTGAGTTGTGGCGCCAAATGGATCACCAACAACTAAAAAAGCCACATCATTTTCATCTGCATCTTCTAAAATCTCATCTGCAGCACTCTCGACCAATTCTCGATCTGCCAAGAGTAATTCTCGACCATAAAACTCTTCCTGTCAAAGAATAACAGCTTACTTGGACTTGCAGAATAAAAACTAAGTGGCTAACGTAAATTATTGTTTGTCATGATTTCTGTAAAATAATTAAATAAAACAACTTACGAGTATTTCTTTCTCAACACCTAAAATTGAAGTATACATTTCTAAATACACTCGACTGCATTTTTTTACCATTTCCAAACCCTTGACCGTTATATCTTTAACATCACCCAATCCTAAACCGATCAAATAAAGCATATTTTACCTTTCAAATTTAAGAAATTACAAATAACGAGTTTAAATACTTGTTGATAAAAGGTACACCTGTATGATTCGTTCAGCCGACTGTGGCACACTCTCTACTATGAGTACGTTCTGGTCGCAAAAACCGTCATGAATAGGTATGTTCGGAGACTGAGCCCTGAGGTTGGGGCAGCCACTGGGCCGGTGCATGGTTCGAGCGCGTCATAGCTTCCGAACGGTCAACTTAGCCCGTACTTAGTCGTTGCAACTTTTGCAAGATAAACCAACGTTTTGATTTGCCGTAAAAAATGACTTTTAATACTTAAAAGGAAAACCTAGTACAAGTTCAAATAATAAAATAACACTTTGTTTTCATTTTATTTTATTGCAGTATTTATATCAACTTAAGTATATCTACACAAATACCTTGTTTATAGAGACAAAATTGTAACGTTTCTTACAAACTTAAAATAGTCCTGTCATTCAAGTATAGGTTATCGATAATTTATGTAATTTGAAACACACTTTAACAAAATTAAGTTTCTTGGAGCTTCACTTTTTACATGGTTACCGGACTAGCGCATAACAAGTCAAACGTTATATGGAGAATTAAATTAAAATTTTTAACAGCATTCCTTTTATTGGTTATTATCAACTTGAATTTTGAATCATTAATCTTGCAACAATTCATTCTTACGCACCAGTTTTATGATGGGTTAAAAATTAAATGTATTTAAACTTAAAAATAAAACTTAATAGGACAAATTATGTTTGCAGAAGAAGCTGTCATTTTTAATGTTCCTCTTAAGTCAAAAATCTTAAACATTAATTTAATTTAGCAGTAGAAAACACCGTAAATAGTTATTTATATTTACACTGTAAACGTAGTTCTTAAACAATCAGTAACATATAGTTCTGGTTACGAGTTTTTCATGCGCGACTTCATTTGCAGCTCGAATCGTCTATTCATGCGCACACCTTTCACAGTTGTCCTTGTCTTTTCTCTTCTTTTGTCACTGAAATTGTTTTTTTAATAGGTAAAACGTGGATTCATGGATTATATTATTGCAATGTTTTTTCAATGTTTACATACCTGGACTCCACATTTCCTTTAGCTTTTTTATTAATTATATCAATAGCCCCACTCTTGCGGACTGGCCATCCAAATCTGTTATGAGTACCATTGGATGGATCTACTACATCTGCCTTGCTTAGCCTTCTTGAGAGAGGCACTAAAGGACAATTTTTTTTTTTTTAAGCGGTCGTTTACGGAAGTACATAACTAAAAATTAAAAAAATGAAATTTTACCTTTTTTGGTACTAGAAGTTGGAGCATTTAAAGTCATATGGCGTTCCTCGACACGTTTCTTCATATCAACTAAAGATTCCATCTTAGCAAAGGTTTTTTTATGAATATCACCAAAGTTAGGAATCTTTCTAGCAGGCGTTTTTGTTTCTGTAACTACATTGTTAACATTATTAAACGTTACTATCAGCAATGGTACTTACAATTACATAAATGCCTAATACAACACCTGTTTTTTTTTCCAGTCTGACGAATGGTTTTGATTTACTAAGATGTGCTGAAGCAGGTAGGGACTTTTTATTAGATTTCAATGTTGAATTACCAGATGCAGAATCTACTAATTTTTTGTTTAAAGGAGTATTTGCTGGATTTTTGTTTAATGGAGTGTTTCCCGGATTTTTGTTTAATGGAGTGTTCCCTGGAGTTTTGTTTGATGAAGTATTTTCTATATTCTTCAATCGTCTTATGATCACTTGACTTGTTCTATTTTTACCATCTTCCTTATTAGCAGGTGACTGTTTAATAAGAGACGTTCTATGCGCCAATAGCGATGTCTTATTTTTTCGGATCGCATGTCCAGGTGTCCCTACTCTACTAATACCTAAAGAGCTTCCTCTTGTTTTTGGCACAGGAGAAGCAAATTGTACTTTGCAACTTCTTTTCATTACACGTCCTTGAACTATACTTTTATCAGCTTCAACAGCTTTTTTCTTATCGATCTTATTTTGAAATTTCGGAGTTTTTGGATTTTCTACTTCATACGTGTTATTTTTGTTAGTTTCATCCTTAGACAGGGAAATCGAGCTACTTTTGTTTACAATCGTACCATTTTTACTGTTTTTTGGGGAGCCTTTTGATCGCCTTTTAGCCTCACTATTAATCACGGCATTTGAATTATTTCCTCCAAAACTTATTTCGTTCCCTGAATCATCAGTACCATAAACATCACTCAAATGTACCAAAGAACTTTCATCCATAGAAGGCTCAGATTCATCATCTAGCAATTTATCACCTACTTTTGAATTAGTCCGATTACTTAACTTCTTAGTAATTTTAGACTTCACAGTTGATGATATAACCGATTTTTTTGGCTTAACTTTTTCTCTTGGAGTTGAAGAAGTTAACGGTTTCATTTGGGAAAGCCTCTTACCAAATGCAACAGGTGTGTAAACAATTGGCTTGCTAGATTTTCTGGAAGCAGTACCAAAAGGCTTTGGAACAGAAGTTCGAATTTTAGTAATGAGTGATGGCCTTTTTGATTTTGGGGATTTAGAATTACATTCTGAAGTAGAAAGTTTATTCAACATCACTTTTGGACTCATTGAGGCATCTAATGGTACATTTATTTGGTCTATAGATTGTTTAATTGGTTTTTTTTCGGGAGATTTTTCTTTTAAAGGTGAGATTTTTTTTTGTTTCTGAGTTATTGATGACTTTATAGATAAAGCTATTTTCGGTGTTTTTCCAGGAGTAAAAGATGAAACGAATTTTGGTGATTTTTTAGATTTCAAAGATGTACTAAGCAATTTGGACTGTCCTAATGATGATGAATATGACCGATGCGGTTTTGGCGTTATTTTTCGTTCCATCTGGGATAACACTACCTTTGGTGATTTTTTTGCACCAACCAAAGATGCACGCGAAGTCTTAACTGGTGATTGTTTTGACGAGTCTCGAGATTTATTTTTTAATGTATCTTTTTTTGGTGATGCCTTGGTAGATTCTTGTAATGCAGATTGATGAGTTTTTTCCAATTTGAATGATGAATCATTTAAAAGAGAGGTCTTTAGCCCGAGCGAATTAGATAGATTTACTTTTAACGATTTCTCCATTACCAAAGAAGTTCTAGAAGATGGCGATTTTTTTACCAGCACGGGAGTCTTTGGTTTTGGACTTTTTACTTTACTTTTCAAGGATTTTGACAACCCTGACTTTGTTTTCAAAGGAGAGTTAGTTTTTTTCCCGGTAGACAAGACTTTGAGTGTAGAACTATTGTTGCTCTTGTCAATAGATTTATCAGCACCAGAAAAACTAGTTTGCTGCAATAACGAATCATTATTAGACTGTTCTGAAGAAGGTAAGGAGTCCACGGATAACTTTCTCGGCACTTTAAAAGACCTGAGAGTGGTTTTGGAATGAGTTTTCGGTGATCCCAAATTACTTGGTGACTTTTTAGGAGTCTTGGTTGAGCGATGCGGAATAGGGGGTGCAACAACCGGGCTACTGCTTTCAGGGGTAATATTACCAGAATCTTTGTTATTTGGTGCTGAAGATTTCTTGGCAACAGACTTATTTATAGACTTTGATTCGTTTTTTGCATTGAAACCTTCATCCTCGCTAAAGATAGAACTTGCCTCTGATACCTGTTGCTTTGCAACTCTTGTCTTTCTTTTAGATTTAGTAGCTTTTGAAACACTTCTTGTAGAGCGAGTATCAATAGATTCATTCAAAGTCTGGTCTTTGTTTTCTTGTTTACGCTTCCTCGTGCTCCTTGTAACTTGAGAACTAGCAATAGAATTATTGGACTGTTCTACAGGGCCATCACTGTCTTCTTCAGAGTTTTTAGTATTTTGGCCTTTAAAAAAAAAAAAAAAAAATTTGAGTATTAATGAAAATGTTTTTAAAAGAGAAATAATAAATAATGGGAACTAAACTTACTTTTCCTCGTTTGACGAGTTTTCTTTGCTGATTTGGGAGCAGACCTCATGCTACTATCAACTTCACTGATGCTTTCCCTTATAGTACCTGAAAACATTCCATTTAAAATTAATTAAGTATCATCCTTTACCATGGATTAGCTATACGCGCGCGAGAGTGAGTAAAATATAAACGGGACGATAGATAACAATTGTACGAACGGCTGCAAGCCGGTATTTGGTTTAAGGCGCCAAAAGGTACAAGCATGAAAGCATACACACACTGACGCCATGATGACAAAAGATGTCCGACTTATACGTGGAACATGCCCAATGATTGGCGCACTACACCAGAGTGGAGCACGCGATAACGATAACAATTTAATACGAAACCCGCGATGCGACATCCGAAGAAAGAGAGAGAGTGTGAGCGGTTTTACCTCTTCTGGTTCTCCTCGGCGACATGGTGTAGGTTAAGGCACCTTGGCAGCAGCAAACTTCCAAAAGTCAGATGAACGGGCGAGCACTTAACAGCGAACAACCAAGCTTGCAGTAAAATTTACAAGTACTTACTTAGTAGAGTACACCGGAAAGAGTATCAGCGCGTCTGCAGAGAAAAAAAAAAAAAAAACAATATTTCACAATAATCCACTTAGCAAGTTAAAAGAGGCGCGTAGATCGGTTAAACTCTTTTGCACGCACAGGTTGCGCATTGCGAGTAGCCACTATTAGCACTAAATTCTTCTCTCTACTGGCCTTACTTACTGAATTTAACGATTGTCGGTTAGAAAATTTGCAGGAGAGAAATAAAGAAAAAGAGTAGACCGTGGCCGGTGCGACGAAACGAAGCTGGGATTGAAGTGTACAAGTGGCCAACAACAAGACAACAACTTCTTATACCTATATATATGATGTTGTTGTATATGCGCGCATGTGCCGGTGTACTATTTTCGCCCCTCCCACTCCGGTTGTCCGGTGTTAAATTCTCAAAAAAATTACGAAAACTGAACTTCAAAGAATCGTCCAAGTAGCGGCAATAACGAGGAATTGTAGCTGCACGTGGCACCCTTAAGATAAAATAATATAATAAACGAATAAGTAAACAAGTGGGAAAGGAAAGGTCCGCTCAACTCCCACCGCACCACGAACCACGATGGCACGATAAATGTGTGCGCAAACGCGCGCGTTGTCGACTTGGCCGAACTGAACAACTGAATCGAATTTGCTGAGTTGCACGATCCCTCGGCGAATGAGAACAGCCGGAGGTACTCGAGGTGTATTCTCAACAGAAGCGCTCCGACCAATCGGCTTTTCTTCCGCGCGTCTGCCGTCAGAGAGAGAATTCTCTCCCACTCAGTGACTATATATATTATAATCTTAATTGCATAACACAATTAAATATTGGACGTTAAAAATCTTGTTATTTTGTATGTAGACGTTACAACGTCGAAAATTTTATTGCTAACATGTCCACCCTGTATTAATTAATTATTGTGAGAATGAATTTTCTGAAAATGTGTATACTTAATAAATCAATAAACCGTGATTTATTAAAACAGTTGAACGTAATTATACAATGTTGCAATTAAATGGGGATAAAAAAAAATAAACGACAATGAAATAAAAATAAAATTTGAGTTTTAGGCAAGTCTAGCACGCTCGTTAACATCAATAAGCTAGATATTCTGCATTATCGGCCGAGTAGATTACGTAAAGTATGGCGGAGAGTTGATTCTGTTCTGCTTTCTGTTGGACGAACCTATCTGTTTATCAACTGGCTATATTTTTCCCAACGAAGACGAGGACAGTAATTTTTTATTCTTTTTCATATTCAAACCATAGCAGGTAAGCTTATGTTCTTATAAAAACATGTTTTACTGTCTGTTTATGCTTGGATATTGTACTTCTGTCACACGAGTCTGTTGACGAATGCTTTCATCACGCGATTACTTGTCTTTGTATTGATTTCTACATTTTTACACATTTTTCTCGAGGTAAAATAACTGCAGAGCAATAAGCTACGTCAAATTAAAATCGAGATTTCATAAAATTTAGTTCGTACTCTGTATGGTTGTACTACTTATAAGTATACACTAATAAATATCGTTAGTTTGATTGATTCAAGTCCGAGCAGACGAAAGTTTTGTACAAAATAAAACCATAAGGCTCAATGAAGGCTTAACTTCATTAAAATTACAAACATTTTTGTGATTTTTTGTAATCATTACCTTGTTTTTATTTCTGATTAAAAATTTTACTTACTAACGCCTATAGACATGCAATGAAATAATCTATTGCTTGTTTTCAGTAACAATGGCTGATGAAGTTTCAAGGCCAATGAGATTTCCCTACACTTATACAGCCAAAATCGCACAGTTCCCATATAAATTTTACTTCAAACATAGCTGGGGTTTCAAATACTGGGTAATAGCTTCAGTGTTATGTCTTCCCGTATTTTACAAATTACAGAAGATGTGTAAGTACCAAAATCGGATTGCACTTTCTAGAGTACTCACAGTCATGAGTTTGAATTTAACCTAACTTAATTTTATTTATTGCAGCATACTCTCCCGAAAACGTCAAGAATTGGGACGAAATTCACAGAAAAGAATTTTACGGTGGAGATCATCATTAGTTGCGTTGTGTTGAATACTAGTATGATTCAACTGTCAAGTTGAAATAATCTTAAATGAAATGTCATTATGAAATAAAATAATAAATCAGCTGTAATTGGCAAACATCAGAAAATAAATAAACGTTTGATTTTAAAGGTGTTTATTACCAAATTAATTGTATAAAACTTACATTCATTAAAAGTGATTTTCAATAGTGCTGTACAAGGTAATTCTTAGTGTCCAAATTTTATACTTTTAAAATTTGGGTAGGTCCAGCCCAAGTTTTATTTCAACATAGTTGGAAATAATTGAGTTAATAATGACAACATCATCATGACAAAACTAAGTACTTTTTTTGTATAAGTAAAACTTCAAAGATTTCTAATGTAAAGTTTAATTTGAATAAGGCTGAATTTATAAAATAACACTTTTGCGGTAAAATTTCAAGTTTCATTTTTGTTGCTTTAAATTTAATGTATACATAACGGCAATATTAAAAATGTCTTTAATTCGACAATTATAAGTAATGCCTTTATTCTATTTTAAAGTGTAAACATATATGGTTGAAGAAATAAATAATTTAAAATCAGATGGTTTACGTAACAATCTTACTAAAACATTAAGTATAGAAGAGATGATGAACTGGATTGTCGTGAATCAAATCACCCACCATTGTTCATGTTACTGTAAGGCTTGCTCAATGAGAGTTTGAGTTTTCAAAGAATAATACTGAACTCAATCGAGCCTTAAAATTCTTTAGCAAAACTATCATGAAATTTCTCAACGGCTCAGTTAGTTATCAATAATTATAATCTCTATCAGTCAAGCCCTTTCACTTAAACATTTAATGAGCTTAGATAATTTGTTTGAACTAAAATAAAAAATTCAATAGCAAGATTAACTTTATCGTGATATTAGCTTGTCTTGCAGGTGAATATGACCAACTTTGCCAACAAAATTTGATGCGCTAAAATCAATACTGACTTTAAGCAAAAATTTAATTAAATAAGAATATTGAAGGAGGCAAGTCGTATAAAATATTACATGCACAATACACAACTATAAACTTATTTTTTAGCTGTCATCCGAATTATCATCACTGTGTTCAACACCATTCTGATCGCCATTGCGTTGAATTTTTCTCATTCGACGGACTATATCTTCATCATAATCAAGCTGTAGTTCTTTACACCGTTTTTCAAAAAACTTCAGTAATCTCACACCAGCCCTGTAAACATAACTAATTAGATGAAGGTAAGAATATTCTTGTTATAAATTTGTTTTGAGTTCGGAAGCCAAAGATTATTAGTAGAGAAGGAACTTGTTAATTTTAACCTAGCAACTTATGTTATTTCATGTAATTTTTTTTTGTTCAATAGCTCACTTTACATTAATGGAAACGTAAAAGTAATTATCGTGTAAGTCTTCGTCTTCCAAAACCAGTTGTTAAAGAGACGTTAAATATCTCTGGCATCCGAATTTGTTTTTATTAATAAACGTTACTTACTTGTAAACAGCACTGTGATCCGTGTTATAAATATGACAATTGTCAAAAACTAATATGACATCGCTGTAAAAGGCTTGCAATGTTGTATAATCGTCGTTTTCAAGTTTTTTCTGAATAGTACCAAAATCCATAGGCTCGGAAATGTAATCATAATAATCGGGAACTTCGTTTTCTGTGACAGGTGATAAGAAAGGCCAAGAATCTCGATGCTTTCTGACCTCTTTCAAAAGTTCTAGCAATATTTTTTTGCAGTTCTTTATTGTGAGTTTTTCTTCTTCTCCATGTTCAGTTTCAGCAGCCCTTTTTGCTGATCCCCTCGTCGTCCTTGAAGGTTCAATCTCTTCGGAGGCACTGCTATCTGTAAATAAAAATTTTTTCAATAAAACAAATTTTTTTCAATTGAAAACTTTGAAGCATTTTTATTAGTGAATGCGTGATTGCTTTTAAAACTAAAAACATTATGGATGCTGTTGAAATAAAATGGTATTAAAAAAGCTATAAAAAAGAAAAAATGTTCCATGTACTCCTGCTAATAATAAGAAATTATAAAAACTGGATATAGCGAGGATGAAATGATAAATAAAGTACATTTATATGGATAAAAGCTGCAGGTTAATTAGGATAGGATGCTATACAGACCATCCCAGTCTTTAGATTCTTTAGAAAGAAGGCTCTTGGCGAAGCCGTAGATGCGAGAGCGTGCCGCTGCTGCGGAGGATCTTTTTGTCTCCCTATCCTTTTCACGGCCTTGCGTAACTATCAACATACCCAAATCTAGGCCTTACTTTTCCCCTTTTTTTTTTTTATACATATAATCCTAATACTTTTAACTATTTTAAAAAGTTTTACTAAACTTGAAATACATATAATTTTTTAAATCATAAACTAAAAAAGTGAATTTAGACAGTCTTATGAAAAATTTTATTATTGATATTTTATTATTAAAGATATTAATTATTGAAAAATGACTTGAAATAGCGTAACGAAAGTTTAAGTTTAATCTGAACTTAGNTTGTCACTACATTCGTCTTCATATTTACTTTTTAAATAAGAATACAGAGTGTCTGTGTCCTGAAGCTCTGGCATGTATGGAGTACCTTCTGGCAAGCATGAGCCATACCAAGGATCGGTATTTTCTACAAAAAGTCCTAAAAAAAAAATTTTATTATTGATATTTTATTATTAAAGATATTAATTATTGAAAAATGACTTGAAATAGCGTAACGAAAGTTTAAGTTTAATCTGAACTTAGAATTAAAAGTCAAATACATTACCTATTCTCGAACTATTCTTCTTTGTTTTGCAGTAATTACAAGTCCAACGACCTCGTGGAAGTCTTGATAAAGGTGGTTCATGACAGTCGATGTGGAAACATTTAGAACACGCATCACAAGTAATAAGCTTACCGTCACTATTACATTGCGAACAAAGTCGTATGGACCGTGACCTGATTTTAAAAAATTTAAAGATTGAACATCATCTTTAACGTCCCTATTTAATAATAAAAATGTAAAATGAGACCTACATTTCATCATCGCTTTCATCATCGGCATTTACATTTTTTTCTGACTGTACATCTTCGTCACTGTCTACAATTTTTCTTGCTCGAGTATGCCTCGTCTCTTTTGCTAAAGGTGCATCCTCTTCCACTTCATCCTCAAATTTCCGCCTTTTTCTCGTTTTTTCTTTAGGTTTGCTTTCTCGTGGTTTGCATGCTTGACAGAACCAATCCCCTTCAGGAACAGACTGAAATAAATATATAAAATTAAAATACATCAACAAAACGTATTTAAGTTAAATGCTACATTGTAATAGTTATTAAATAACTAACTATTAATTTTGGTTTCAGACAATATAAATGATGGCCCTTGTTGCATCCATCACAGAGTAACATATTTTCGGCATCTCGGCGCTTCCGGCAAATTCGGCATTGTGCGTTTGTTGCACTTCTACTCCAGGCAATGCAATTATCTAGAGTGTTCAAGTGGACAAAAAGTTGGGACCAGCTAGTAGAAGACAGAAGTGACTGCTCCCACCTGTCTCTAGCTTCTTCTGCAGACCACTTTTTATCCTTATCATTGTTGCCTAGAGGTTTTTTCAGGTACTTGGGTTCAATAGCATGAGTTACTTGCAAGATAGCACACGCCATTTGTCTAATTGCATTTTGTTGCGAGGTATCCGGAATTGGTTCACCTTTGTCTGGAGGACCCAGGTATTTTCCTGGGTCCCGGTAAACTTTAGTAGCAGAACTACCCGCATCAGAGTCAGGTGTTCCAGGCCTGCTATTTCTAGACTCAGTTTTAATTTTATCTAAGGCGCTATTTGTAATAGAATCTACAGGAGTGTCGTTTAAACCATAGACAAGTTTGTCACACTGCTTATCATATTTACGATTATTGATGGCGTTTCGCCATAAGTCTCTGTTTTTAATTTTCAAAGATCCTAAGCAGCCTATTTTTATTTTATCTTCTAAATCCAACACATAATCTCGCAAAGTTAGTTCCAAAATGTCATCTACAGGCATATCGGGTGGATAATTATTATTGTGAGTGTTTTCGGTTTTACTTTTCCTGGACGATTTTGATGTGTCTTTTGCTGTCTCAGTAAACTGTAAAATAAGCATATATGTATATTTTTTCGTACCATAGGCATAGGCCATAGGGTAACTAGTAGGTGTACACTGATATATAGTTATATAAAGAAATACATATTCATATATTTATTTCAATTACTTTGGTTCACTATAACTATCACATGAAAGAATTTTGTACAAATATTTGACTTACCACTTGAGAATTAAACTTATGCTTCGGACAACTATTGATAGCCAGTTCTAAGCTCTCCTTTTCATTAATGAGATTGTGTCTCAGCTCAGATTCTCGAATGCCCCTTTCACTCAGCGAACCAATCAATTTCTCAATGTCGTTTGAATTACCAAAGAAGCTCCAAGTTGGACCTGGTCGGTTTACATGGACAGGGCAGTCTTTACTTCCCGTGCACGCCATTATACTTTTACGCATATCTTTTTTAACTTCCTTCCTTGGCGACTTTATTCCGTTCTTGTCAGAAATGAGGATTTTCTTAGGAGATTTGCACTGTTGTATGCTATTTTCTTTGTCACTACATTCGTCTTCATATTTACTTTTTAAATAAGAATACAGAGTGTCTGTGTCCTGAAGCTCTGGCATGTATGGAGTACCTTCTGGCAAGCATGAGCCATACCAAGGATCGGTATTTTCTACAAAAAGTCCTAAAAAAAAAATTTTATTATTCATATTTTAAAAACAAGGTCAAATTGTAATTTTAATTATTAAATTTTCTAGTATTATACCTGGAATGGATAAAATGCGCCAGTATTTTCTGTACGCCCTGTCATATCCTAACAGAACCATTATCTGGTCATCTCTTGACGCTTGTGTCAATTCCTTTACTTTTGCTTCAAACTCTTCTCTTTTCTTTTCTTCCTTACAATTATTGCGAGTCAACTTTTTTGGTTCGATTTCTTCTGTCTCAATTTTACCTTCGTTTTCTTTTTCTCTTTCTTTTAATTTTTCACGCTCTTCTTTTTCTTTTTTCTGTTCCGCAATAATGAGTGACTTTAGCTCTTTTTTTGCTTGGAACATTTTGTCGTACCTTTCATCGATGACGTCACGTATCGAAGCAAACGTTAGTAGTTGGTTCATCAAACAAATGACTACCGTTAATCTATCTTCAATATTAAACTCGCAAATGTGACGGTGGCTAAGAGCTCGTAAAATTCTTGGTTTTTCTATTCTAAACAAAAGAGCTGGGTCATCTTGATTTGTGTAACCACCTGGAAATTGGCAAAAGCGTATAAAATGGTGCATAATATGTATTGGAGTATTGCATCATTGTAAAAAATTTTTTTAAGAAACATTACCTCTTTGAGAATATCTCCATTTAGACGCGGCTTCGCTAATACGACCTCCTGAGCTCAAAAGATGTTGTCTTAAAATTTCACTCATGGAATAATAATCTAGTGCAAGTTCTGACAGTTGGTATCCTTGATGCGTCTGACTCCAAGTCGACGCAATCGTAGCTAATTTAACAGCTTCTGCCATAGACGATACTCTTTGATCGACAATACTATCATTCATAGCCTCTGTAGATTCTGCATGAATTTCATCCTCTTCCTCAGCTTGGTATTTGAAAATGTTGGCCAACAGTAGTTGAATAAGATCATTGAATGGGCCTGTCATTTCTTTGTCAGTCATTGCTTTTTCTAAAACTTCAAGAGTAAAACCGTTTGGAAAATAAGTTTTAACCTCGATTTCGTCATAAAAAAAGCTTAAAAACTCCAAGATCATAGTAAATTTTCCAAACTGCGCTTCTAATAAAGGACATTTCATAGGTACTGCTTCTGGAAGAGGCTTTAGATCTTCACATTCTAAATCTTCTCTTGGTTTATTCCATTTCTTGACCCAAGCTACCAGAGCAGCTTGTTTCAATTTTTCTTCTTTTTTGCGTTCTTTCTTTTCTAAACGCTCTTCCTTTCGTTTTTCCTTTTGTTCGAGAGCTTTTGCTTTTAAATCTTCTACACCTTTACCATTTAATCTGAAAAACAATTTTTTTTTGTAATTATTAATACGTAATAACAGGTAAACAGAATGGAAAAACAAAAAAAAACTCGAGACATACTTAGACTTTCTGTATTTCTTGGTTACCATTCCACTTGAACTAACTTTTCTTAGTGGATCTGGTTTATTGAAAGCTCTGTGCTTTGTTACATCTGATATCAGGAATTTGTCTAAAGACCCTTGCTTTTGTTTCACTACTTTTTTGGGTCGTGGAGTAAAATCAGGTAATGGCCCTGCAAATATGGAATCAAATCGCGTTTTGCTAATTCCATATTTTTGCAACACGCCGTCCTAATAAAAAAATAGACACAAAAAATTTAAGATTTATAGCAAACGTTGAGAAACCGTAATTTCAAATCATCATGTACTTACTTTGACAACCCACACTCCAGAAGCACTTTGTTCACAGAGCATTCTAAGAAAAATCTTGTTTCTTTCCCTGCTATATTGTTGCTTTTTCCTTCTTATTTGAGAAGCTTCTACTATCATGAGTTGACTGACATCAGTGTCACCACAGTCGAGTTGCTCAACTTCATAGCGGAATAATTTTGCTGGTGGAGAATACTGTCTCTCTTGCGAACTTCTACAATGAAAACCGGCTCGTGTGGTCATTGGCACTTTCGTTATTGTTTATTGTAATTATATAATTAGATNAAAAAAAAAAAATTACCATTTCAACAAAATTGATTAAAAATGACCCAAGATGTCAAGTATACACTTTTTGACTGGATTATGGACCCTTACTTGCTGTCATCTGAATTATTGTAAGCAGCAATTTGTTGTTCAGTAGGCTGAATCACCTGCAAAACGTGACATTCACACCAAGAATCTTCAGTAAAACTTGCTTCAACCATTTCACCAATAAAGTATCTTTCTCTGGCATAGTGGAAAACATCTTCGATCATTTCGCTGAACGAAGTCCTGGATGTTTTGTTGGCTAAATACAGAATCGGTATGCGCAGCTGAAAAACAAAAATAGTAAAATAAGCATTGCCTAGAGAGAAAGACAGAGATCAAAAGTGCTTGCGAGCAAACAAGTCTTTTTATTTTTATTTCTGTGCACATGGTACCTCCATTGGGAATTCCTTGAGGCTCTCCTTGGCTTTCTTTTCGCATTGTAAGGCTTCTTCGTAAGTCATGCCAGACTTGCCAGTTATACTGCATGACCATATCATCGAGTTGCACAAGATGATCCTTTCAAAAAATTCACTGCAAAAGATAATCAACAATGGTGTGAGATTAGAAAGGGTGAAGAGTTGAGCATAGCAGACTCGAATTGAATGGTATAAGGCCTAAGGGAGAGAAGAGGAAAGAAGAAAGTAGTATATAGAGGTCAGCTGAGGTAAGGAGAGCGAGAAAAAAAAGAGCGGTATACTCTTGTAGATTGGCTCTCTTGGTTAAGGGAACCCAATCGCAAAAGTTGACGCTGACTTACTTGTAGTCCTTGAAAATCTCGTTGGTGACGGAGCAGAGGAAGACCTCGTCATCGTCTCTGAAGTCCGAGGAGACGTGGAGGCGTTGAAAAGGCTTTTTCCGTAGGAGCGGCATGTTTCTTGTACGTTGGACTCCCAGCAGGGAGTCGACGGCAAACGGTGCGTCGCTACTCTTCGTTACCGCTCACTAATCAATTACTTACTGATGCCAGTCCTTTTCTTTCTCAAATAGCTATTAGATACTGAACTTCAAGATCCGGGATAGGAAAACTACGCGCTCAGACTGGCTCAGGCAAAGCAGCTGAGGCGACACGACGACGATGACAATGCCAAAGAGGCCATCCACGGCGACTGCGTAGGCACTGTACAACTTAAAGACGATAGGTACCACGCGACTTTCACAATGACGATTGTGGCAAGCAATTCAATGGACAACTACAGGTCCAAAAGAAAATCGCAACTCACGGCGTCAAAGACAAGCGGCGCCTTCTTCACGCAGTCCTAAAGCTTTAATTGTTGTAGATAGGTATATTTAAAGAGCGAAGCGCGCGATCGAGGAAGAGCACGCTGGTAGCCTCTCCTGGCTGGCGCCCTAAACTAAACAGCGTTTAGAGGCGAGTTGTTGCACCACTTACTACACTATACAGGGTACATGTTACAATTATCCCCTTCTAGCAGAGGGTGACACTGACGATAACGATAATACTATGTACAAAGAGAACTCGTAACACACACGAAGATTGGCTCCCAACTAGGTACCAACTGCGTGCTCCATACTTTTACGAGAGACTCTTTGCATCAGATCACATCAGCAGAGCATTGTACTTTATACTGCAGCAGCCCCATCAGAAGCAGAGCCTGCATGCAGCAGGCAGCGGAGAGCATGCCGTCGTGCGCGAAATAAGTATACACAGCTCCCTCTCTCTCTCTCCCGCCTCTCTTGCGCTTTTGCCTCCCACCATATGCAGCGAGCGCGAGTGTACAAATGTGTTTTGCAGGTGTGTATACGTGCACGGCACACTTTTATACTATGATAGGTGTTTATTTTTCCTGATGCGCTCTCTCTTTCTCTACTTCTGGAGGATTTCTGCAGTCCTGGGTCCCGAGAGACTGAGGACAACAAGATGCAATTTTCAACAGTTTTTCACAGCTGACGCCGAGGGGCCAAAAGTCCACAACTTGCGTATCTTGTAAGAGGCACTTCGTGTTGACGATTAAAGCGCAGTAATGACAAAATGATCCGATCTAAGGAAACGAAGATACATTTTCTAATCGTTCGTTAAAATATGAGAGAAAAAAAAAAGACCTTTTCTATGCCTATGGTCAAAGGTAAAAAGGAAACTAAATCGCGAGCTGCACACGAGAGAGAGTTGGCTACTGCTAGACTGGTACTGCTATATCCAAACGGGCTTACCAATGTCAAGACGCGTGTGAATTGCCAGTAAAATATTTTTTGCTGACAATTGAAAACGCTTCGATATTAAATTGATTTTCGAAATTATAGTCATAACAGAACCCTCTATGCGCTTTGTGAGTTGTCAATCATCAGTTTATTCAAATTAAGCCAGGTGTACGGCTAAATTTTGAAAACAAGTTCCAAAAACATAGGGATATGTATAGGGGAGGGCGCGCGTTTTTTTTCTCAATAATGTTGGTAGCAGTTTTGATGAGCGGGAAAAATGTTATTCAGTTTTTCGTTGGGTTAATGTAATATATACTTATGTCTTCGAAATCAAATCACAATGTCATGAGTATTCTTCAAATAGATAAATTATTAACATTTTTTTTACCGTGATTTTTATTTTATTTTATTTTTTCCTTATTTTTACTTTTCCTTACGAATTAGTTATTTACGTAGATACACTAGATACATATGGACAACAAAATACAAATTGTCATGATATCCACTAGCTGTTCAGCCATTCATTTATATATTGACATTTTATTGGAGTAATGTCACCGAAATCACAGCAGTTTTTTCGTGTGTCTGCCTGAAATTTCGAGTTGTAATTGTTAATAATAAATTTAAAATTAGTTTTTTTTTTTAACATATGTAAGCTATTTACAGGGCAAACTCCACAACTACTTTTTACAAGACCTGGTGTATCCACCAAAGGTTTAATTGCTCTGTACGACACTTTTTTATCAGGTGCTATGTATTTTTCTACCTTACCATCGTATATCAAGGTATTGAGTATCATTTCTAAATCTTCTGCTCTAAGTTTTACCTAAAAGTTATTTCAATGCTAAAGTACAATTGATGGAGCACATTAAAAAAAAAGCATCAAGATCTTTACCTTACTGATTTTAATTTTAATTATATAGTCTTTGACTTCTTCTGCAGTCGCATAACTGGCTCGTTTTATATACATTGGTCCCATGTTAGCGACTGTTTCGTCAACTGAGTCCCTTTTTTGTTCTAAATACCTGTAGCACTGCTGATTTAAAATATCAACAAATTCAGACTCAAAATCCTGATCTTGATACCAGGCACCACCGGTAACAGTTATGTCAGGCTCCAAATCAAACAGCATGTATACCTTCTTTTTGCTGGCAGCAACAGATTTAACAGCTTTGATAATTTTTTTTTGTTCAAGACTTTTTAATATCTTGGCCAGCTGTGTGGCTGGTAAATTACACTTGTTTCTTATCTCTCTGACCCAAATTCCTTTATTTCCAGCCTCTTCTATGATACAGAAAACAACCTTCTCTTCATTGTCGGCACCTTTTACAACCTTAGTATTGGATGGATCGTTCAATTTGTACAGCAAAACTTTTCCCTGCTTGAAAACTCTTAAGTAATTCAGTTTCAAGAGCTTATTTATGACGTCTCTCTTCTGCTCTGGTAAAAGATCTGGCATTTCTATTGAAATGTCTTGGTCACATATTCCTTTAGGCTTTGACTGGGCGAGATTAATCATTCTATAAAAGATGCATGTTTCAGTATCATGTTAAATAAATTAATTGCTTAAATGTTGTATTGGTAACTATGATAATAATAATAATAATAATAATAATAATAATAATAACAACAATCATATACTTTTGAACAATGGGTTCTAATTGTTCTCCACCCACTTCCATGGTGCCAGCTTTTTTTTAAATTCCGTAGTATGGTAATAATGTTCGCTGTGTCTATTCGCACCAAATCCACGTAATTACGTGGATATAAGGTTAGGAATTTTAAAGAAAAACGCTACTTTTTCAAATGAAGTATGTCCACGTAAAGTGAAGTTCGCAGATTGCGTGCCTATAAGAGAACATGTGTGTGTATGAAAGCACAATTTTTATTTTTACTTGTCTGATACATAAATAAATATGTAAGAGAATTAGAAAAAGTCGGAGTCCGACTGCTCACTAGCTAAATAATCGGTCCAGTGTGAGTATGTGGTACATACATATGGTATTATGGTAAACAAAAAAATACTTGTAAGTGTAACAACAAACGGCCAACTTTTCTGCTGCACGTGTTATTTTTTATGACAATCTGAGTATCTGACTGTAATATGAGGCGCCAGGGCACGTCGCGGCTGTCATGGCCGTCTCACTCACACAACATTACTTTTCAGTATTGTATGTACATAGGAAAGTAAAGTGTAGTGGTAAAGCGCAATATTTGAAATTTTGAAATGAATAAGGAAGACAAGAAAGAATATTATGGGAGCTTAAAAGTTTCAGAATTGAAAAAGCTTTTAAAAGGGAAAGGAGCAAGAGTCAGTGGAAGAAAAGCAGAACTCGTGGAGGCAAAGTGGTCGAGGCATAAGCCATGACTTGGGAGCGGCAAAAATGTTGGTCTCCCAATTGCTTCGAGCCACTTTTTTTTTATCACACTATCAGAAGGAAATTTAAATTTCACTTTCTTATCGCAGGATATTACACTGCACTTCATTTTTCCTACTATCTTTAAACGTAAATGCAAACAAAAATTGTCTGCAAACAACAGCAATCATTTACAAAGGTTATGTCTTCTGCTTTGCTCATTACACAGATAGGCTCACGAACACAATACACAACTGTAAATTTGACGGTGTGTAAGTGCGACGGCCATAACAGCCGCGACGTGCTCTGGCGCCATCTGATTCAAGCTTGACGGTAAAAGAGCCTCTAGGTTCGTTCAAACAGTTTTGCATCATTCGTCCGGTTCATTCGTTTCATTGTCGTTCCAGTCAGTTAAGCTCTATCTATCTGCGAGTGTGCGCCAATTTGCTGCTCTATCTGCTACTTATCACACTCATAAGATATGATCATACTTCACCTGTAGGATTTTTATAGTTGCAGAGTGGCAGCAAGATAGTCCAGGCACGTTGAATATAGAGAACAAAAAAATGTTATCCAGAAACCTACGTTTTAAAATGGTTAAAAGGGTTTAAAGTCAACATAAGGAAAATGTGTTATGTGCCCAAGAAAGTTGGGGGATGATTTTAGGGGTTGAAAAGGGGTAAAAATGGATACATCTCGTATTTTTTGCAATTTCACGCGAAATTTGATGTCCTACTGAAAAATGTTAAATATAAAATTTGTAGATTTTTCCAAGATCTCGTCGATACGAGTCTCGCACTCATGTACTCATACTCTTACTCATGACTCATGATGTAAGAATATAAGGTGTGGCGTTCCGAGGTCTCATTTTCGTGCCATTTTGCGCCTTCCATCACGACGCCATACTTGAGGGAGATGTGACTACTACAGCGCCGAAGAGCCTGTACAATGAAACGAAGTGGCCAAAGTTGAAACTAAAATCTATCCCCCGCATCCACCTCAAAGGCTCAAAGTGAGATATATTTATAGATATAGACATACGTATGAATGTACATGTACGTCAATTGATGAATGAAGTTTTTCTGTGTGAATATTCACGAATTGTACTTTTAGTCACTGAAACAACTGGAATGAAAATATTGAAATGAAAAACATATATTGTTTTACGTGTTTCTTGATGTTAATATGCTTAATATTTCAAAAGCTTTTGAAATTCGCAGACAGACATGGCGGCGCGATGGAAGCGTTCCTGATTGGTCAATCAAAATTGATGCGCAACGCCACACTTATATATTTACATCATGGTCCTGAATATGGCAGAGCCAATCAGGATGAGAGCTCCCGCATCTGACACACTCCCTCTTGACTTGACCCTCTGTGTCTGTATTGGTGAATTGGTCCCCGAACATTCTATTGTTGATGCATCATGTATCATGGCATCATGTGCGATGTGGTGAGTGGCGGCGATGATAGGCGATGTCATTCGGTCGTTTCGTCGTTTGGTTGTCAATGACAACTTTAACATCTCGTCATAATTTGTTTTATGTCATGTCAATTAAGAGGGCATGTGCATGTGAATCTGTGAATGTGAACAACTTGAATGTGAACTGAATGTGAACGTGTCATCTCAAGATCTTTATTTCATTAAATATTTGATTTCTCTTGAAAGAGATGTAGTGAGTGTAAACATTTTGAAATGTCATTATGTGATTAATTAAATACAATAGAGTACATAAACTATTTACATGGGTGTATACTTCCTAGTGTTTGAGTTGCCTTAACCTCCGCTTGTGCCTATTGTTCGTATATACGCTAACCATTTTTTACTCTTTAAAAAAAAAAAAAAAAAAGAAAAACAAAAAACAAAAAATGAGAAGAGCGAGGATCAAGGTTGCGGCGTCGGTCCCGGTGCGTCGTAAGACACAACTTGAAACTTCGGCTGATGTATCAAAACAGCCATATGCACCAGAACCTGAATGTCCATCAGAAAATAGTGCAAAGTTGAAGACTGATGCTATTGCAGCTGATCCAATTCCAAATTTGGAGTTGGAAAAGGAAGAGAATAAGGTTGAAGAACCCAAGATATCAGAAAAAATTGTGCCTCCTGTAAAACGAAGAGAATCTGGAGAAAAAGAAAAGGAGCCGGCAAAAGGAGAAAAACCTTTGGACAGTGATTCTGAATCATCGAAACAGGATGCGCAACCGGACCATTGTAGCGAGTCTCCTGCGAGGGCTGAGACTCCAGCTAGAATCGAAAAATCCCCGGCTCCCACTGTTGAAGGTACAATAACTTTATAAATATTTAAAACTTATGAAGGATTGCTTTTAGAGAGCATTCGGAGCTGCCACTGGCTGCAGCTTGCAGTATCAAACCTCCAGTCACAGGATGCAGTAGTTAGCTGCAGCCAGCTTTGACTTCTCACTATAAACGATCCTTTAGTCTTAGAATAGCAAAGTTTCAGAAACAATACCATTTGCGATCACAAGAAAAGCCAATAACTGGAATAATCTGTAAACAAAACAATTATTGACAAATGTTTTTCAGGTTCTCCACATAAATCGATACGTTCCTGTTTCACAAAACCAACCCCAAGATTGGATGGTGGTGGTAGAGTGCGGAGAAACAGCATTCAAGGGAGTGGCGCCAGTGCCAGCGAATCTGAAGACGATAGTAGGAGATCAATTTCTACGGCTCAAGGCCGCGTGAGAAATGACTCTATAAGTTCTATGCAGAGTTTAAAAGACACAAGCAATACCAGTTCTGTGGCAACAAAATTAAACCTGGGACAAAAAAGAAGAATGGTTGTGTCTGAGTCAGCTAGAAAGCTTGCTGAGGCCAGGAGAGATTTTAATATGAAGCACGATAAAAAAACTCCAGATAAAAGTAAATTAACGATGTATGACCTAATTTACTATAATCCTAGTACCAATCCTATGAAACCAAAGCCAGTGAATCCAAGACCTGCTGCTAGGAAACTGTCAGTTTGTTCGTAAGTTTTTGTTTCTTGCTACTACTTTTATGAGTCATCTCACTGCTGGATCCAAATAAAATCACTGGTCCGTTAGTACCTTAATTCATGTGTTTTTTTTCTGCTCTTTTCAATTAGCTAATTTTGTAAATAACTTTTCAGTATTATTGAAAAAGACAAGAAGGAAGAGGAAGCTGATGATACATCAGGAATGCCTGTTCCTCAAGTGAAAATTGGGCCGAATGGTGAATTAATTATTGATGAACAAAGTTTGGTTATAGATCAATACAAAGCTCAAGAAAACATAGATCGCTCTGAAATAATAGTTGATGATGACTACTATGGTAACGGGTTTTACAAGAAGCGCCCAAAAAGCAAAGACTGGAGTAAATGGGAAACTGTCAAGTTCTACAAAGCCCTAAATATTATTGGAACCGACTTCTTGCTGATGCAAAGTAAATTCCCTAATAGGACTAGGCAAGAATTGAAATTAAAATACAAAAAAGAAGAACGAATTAATGGTAATTTAATAGAGAAAGCTCTTCAGTATCAAGAATTTGACACAGAAACATTGGAAAAGGATTTAGGTATGAATTAAAGCTTATTTACTTTTTAAAATCATGAGTAATATTAATCATAAAAAAAAATTGTAGCTACCGTTGAAGAAAACGAAAAGAAAGAGGTGGAAGAAGCTAAAAAAATGGTCAAAAAAGAAACCTTCACGGGACGAAAACGGCGCAGAAGATGTAGTAAGTACACTAGTGGTTATTACATGTAGCGAAAAGTTATTGATCTAGGCTATAAAAAACTATGACTTCAATTATTTGTATTTTTTTACTCTATTGTTTATCTTGTATTGAGGGTCACTCGTTAACTTATTTCAAAATAAATAAACGTATGAATAACATTCCCAAGGCTCATTATATGTATATCTTCTTTCATCTTATAAAAATACTTCAATTACAGCTTAAAAACACACTTTAAAATGAAAAATTACCCAATGAATCATTAACTTTTACTTATTTATTTTAGCATTTCCTATATTACCGTACACAAACTCCAGTTCTCTCAATTATTCTTAATCAAATAACCATTCTCCATCTTATCAATTTTAATTGTAACACTTTAAGAATATGATTAAACTAACGTATCATACTAACTCTAAAATTAAAAAACATGGGCCTAATATATCATAAATTATTTTAATTATATGCTATAGTTTCTAATTAATAGATTTATATTAAATAAAAAATAAATTTTTTCAGAAGTAGTTAATGATGAAATATCTGGAGATGCGCAAAATGCAAATTCTGAAAAGAATAGCGGTGACGCACAGTCAAGTGACGATGCTTCAAGGGTTACTATCACCTCTAAAATAACTCGAAAGCGCAAACGTAGAAAGGTTTTATCCAGTGAAGTTGCTTCTGAAATGAGTGACGATGATAGTAAATCTAGTAGAGCTCCTAAAAAGCCTAAGAAAACTCCGAAGTCAGCAAAACAACAAAAGAAACCAAGTGGACGATCAAAAAAACAGAAACTACACATGGATAAAGAAAGTGATGAATTTAATGACACAAATGTTGCCCAAGATCCACAAGAAAATAATCGGGAAAATTTGAAAGATGTGGAAAACAGTGAAATTATGGATGAAGATATTATTATGGAATCATCCAATAAAGATTCCAACAGTGTAGCTAAAGAAGAAAATGTGACAGTAAAGTTGAATGAAAAATCAAAAACAGGAACAAAGTTACATAAGAAATTGAATGATGTGGATGTTGATGATGAACCAAAAGAAAAAGATGTAACAGAAAAGACTGGTGAAAAATTAGAAATACACACAAATGCATTAAATGACATTACTGATGACATAGCTAACATGTCAAATTTAACACCAGGGTCTTTGGTGGTGTTGAAAAAAGATTCTGCAGATGAACCTGGAAAGACTATTTTGCAAGTTTACATTGTCAGTGATGATTTTGATGCTAGCAACCCCAATCGAAAAGACAGTCTTATACCAATTGACATGTCCCCAGAGGAGTTGAAATCTGTTAATAATTGCATTAAAGATATAGAGCCGCAGAGTTTTTGATAAGATTTTTATTTATGTTGTTAAAATACGTAAGTGATAAATATTATGTATATTGTACATATAAAAATGATTAAAGCGATTTTAATATACTTTGGCTCGTTACACGAAATGCAATCAGAAATTTAAGGCGTAATTTTAGTTGATTTCAAATATTTAAAAAATTGTATTACACCACGTGTACTTTACATGTGAAATATATTTTTTTTTAAACTGCATCTTTAATTGAAAAAATAATAATTTCCTATCTCGCAACCATATACATTCATATAACTCATACTATAGCTCGCATAGGTTTGATAAAATTCATGCCCAAATGTATATTTAAACTTAAACATTGCACAAGGTCTGTGAAAAAAAATTGTTTAATACTTACATAAAATCCCATTTTATCACAGTTAATCGGGACTTTTATTTTGTCATACCAATATTTGAGTAAGCTATTGAATGATAACATTATTTACAAATTGATATGAAAGTTCCATGTTCGATCCAAATGTATTCTACGAAGCCTCGTTACCTTTAACAGGTGATTTTTTAACTTTGATTGATTTTTGGAATCTTATTTTTATCATTAAGTACTATATTTGATTATACCGATAGTGGACAAAAGATTTTGAAATTGTTGTATCGCGTTTTGTTAATATGGCAAAGTGAAAAAAAAAAAAAAATTATAAGCTATCTTTATTCATTAAGCTTTATACCGTCAATATTACAATTATTTTTTTGTTTTTCGTATTCTTTTTTATGTGACTTTTTTGTGTAGGAATCCAAGCGAATTTGTTCGCTCACATAAGACAAGAAACGCCCCGTGAATTTTTTTACCACATTTATAATAGGTACAAAAAAAAGTATTTGATTAGAGCTGGAATGCATTAAAAGTTTACTGTAAATCATAACTTAAAGGTATATTATTTTTCGCAAACATTATTTTGTCTTCGGTACTCAACGAAATGTACATAATCTGGACTCGATAAAAATTACTAAATCCACATCCAGCACTTTCACTTAATTGAGTTCATAAATAAGTATACAGTCGATCAAAGTCGAGCGACTTTAGCTAACGCCACACGACAATGGTGACTTAACTTAAGATATTTATAACTACATTGCGTCAAAGCACAATGCTGTTTCCCTTTATAAATTACGTTAATATATACGTCTTATTGGCGATCCATAAATTTAGTATGTTTGTTGGGACCCATTTTTAATTTTCCTCACATTTTACAAAATTATGTGAATTTTAACGTCAGCGTCATGTACAATATATACCATAAATTGAACAGGCATAGAAATATTATAGAGTTACGTGAATATAACTGCAGCAGCAGCAGCAGCAGAGTCCAAGTGATGTGAGTAACCGAATTGTCAGTCATACACATATATATTATGCACTGCAATTGATGCACAAAAAGTTTTATGTATAGAAAAATAGGTAGTCATGTAAAAACATACTCTTAGCAGTTAAAGAGAAAAGAGTGTCTAATTTTTTTTACGTAAAAGGACCTTTTACTAAAATAGCTCTGACGCGCATAGCCACGCTTCAATTATCCTTAAAAAGTACGCGTGTACATTGTACAAATTGTACTTGCGTATGTATAAAATTCACTAAATGGCATCGAAGGATTGAATGATAAATCATCAGCACGTTTGTCATTCGCCTTTGTATATTTTGCTTGGAAAAGACTATATTTTTATATAGTTAAATAATTCTCTTGTTGATAATATTTAATTCTCTTGTTTTCACATGTAGATATTACATATGAAAACGAAACAAAAGCCATATATATGCAGAGCAACGAATTTTCGGGTGGAAAGATAAAAGTGAAAACGATTTTATTTCCGTCTCAAAAACCTATATTGTTCCTCGCCAACAAGACATAATCATCATCCAAATACTCGTAATTAGGATATATATATAATTATGTTCAGGCACACAAGGGGTGGGGGGGGGGTGGGGGTGGAGAGTAGAAAAAGCTCAGCTTTTGTAAGTCAAGTCGCACGCGCGAGAAATTAATGGAATCCTTTGGACAATGAGGCGACAGCATCATCAGCGTCCATCAGTAAAGAAAGTTACGGCTGGATGGGATATATGCATAATACTTATATTATGTTTAATTTATTGCAACGTGGTTGTAAGGCTATAGGTATATACTCTGTGTTTCTGCAACCGAATTGGAAATTGGAAGAAACATATAGTATGTATGTGGTAAATTAAATAAATCGCCTAGAACACAAAAAGATGGGAGTGCAGCCTGCAGTCAAACGAGAAAATACTCATGGACAGCGGACAGCTGATGGATCGATGGGATCCGCGCCTGCTCCGTGAGAGCAAGCTCAAAGCTTCCACTTACACATACAATTGCAACAACAGCATTGCTGGCGCCGGTTAAGTAAGGACGGGTGAGGAGAAGAGGAGGAGAGGCGCGGCGGAGATGACGGCGAGAGAGAGCTTGTAGAACACACACAACAGTATACAGTAGTCAGCAGCAGAGAGCCAGAGCCCAGGAGGAGGAGGATCGCCGCTCTGAGGAGGAGCTTAGGGCTCTCTCTTTCGGCTGGAGCGCGGGGGGTGTAGCGGGGAGGAACGTAAAGTCCTTGGCCTCCGCTGCTGCAGGAAGTTGTTCATTTTGTGTATTATTCAAGTGCGCGTATATGAGCATCCATTCAATAATACACATTAGCCTACTCCATCACCAAGTAGGTAGGTACAACAACGCACGAGAACCGATACCTATAGGGTGTACGCTGCACGTCGCCTAGTTCATGAAGGGATAAGGATGAGCTCGGAGGCAGCTGGGCTGCAGCTGCTGCAGTTGCAACGACAGCAAGAGCAGCGGCCACCGAGACCTGCCGGCTGAGCTGCACATACTGTAATCCCGTGATGCGAGCAGCAATTGCACCATCACCAACAACAACACCATTATCACCATTACCGTCATCAATAGAGGACCATGGGCACCACCAACAGCCGCGAGAGCCAACTCGAGGAACAGGTCCAAGACGAGGACGCCGGCCTGCAGATACGATCCACCACCAGCAACCATAGCCATCCCGTAAGTTTTATATATTTATTGCTTTTGTTGTGTGTCAATGTTGCTTAATACACGTACACCTTTTGTCCGTCATAATAATTTAGGTTGTACCTGTAGGTTTTTTTTATATACGTGTATACGTGATTGCAACTGCAGAAAGCTTTCGATGGATATTTGCAGGATAGATCAGATAGATTTGTCATGATAGTGTGCGGAAAGAGAGCGATATACATCGGATTGGAGAGGGAGAAAGGTGTAATGTAGCCGCGCGCGTGATAAAGGTCCGCGCGCCGACAGCTGATGGTGGACCGTGGACGACTGGACGACGTTAGCGTTACATATAGGTATACGATATATCTGACGCACGCACCGCGTTATATGCCGCCTCTCCTCTCTCTCTCTCTCCCCCTGCGTGCACGCACATCGTCATCATCGTCATCATTATCAGCATCGTCGTCGTTATATTTTTTTTTAGTCTGTCTCTTTTACACTCGGCGTCGTTGCACGTCGTCTCCGATGGGTTGAATCGCGCGCTCCAGTCCAGCAGCAGCGCCGCCGTCAGTTTTTGATATAACACAACGCGCGCGCTAAGCCAAGCTTTTTTTTATTCTTTGTTGTACTTACTTGCTTTATACACGTTGCACTGGGCAAAGAGAAAGATCGAGCTCGGACTCCTCGGAGTAGTCGGAGCTCTCGCGCGACGCACAATAAGTGCCGAGGATCGAGAACTTGCACCTAAGGTGTACAGCGTTACAGGAGGAACACATAGGTATTACATATATACCTACCATGCCGCCGAAGAACAAGGTACCGTTTCTTGCCATTTTTCACGCGAGAGAAAACCCAACGATTCATCTACATAATATTATACACTTATCGTCATCTCATGTACGTGTTTTCTTTGTTCTCGCTTTCCATCCCGTTACATTTCTTCGTCGTCGCTCGTTGCTTATTTCATCTTAGTCACAAGTTTCGTTAGGAAAAAAAAAAAAAAAAAAAAAATCAGTTGTACTAAAAATCAAAGTCCTCGACCTTTTTTTCCCTCGCATTGTATGTATTCTTATTTTCTCCTATCATCGGCATCATCGAGGCTCTATCTCTCACATGCCAATTGATTACAAAATAGCCGCTCTCTCACCGATGTACGAAACCGAGAGTTTTTATATACGCACGTCGATTATTATATCGCGATGAACATTAATCACGAGGTATGTAGCTGCTTGTCTTTTAATCGAATTTTCAACTGATGCTTGCGCTCTGGTAGCGCCGATTCTCATTCCGTTTGATATTAACGTACATACATGTATCTATGTGTATACTATATTATTCACTCTGCTCTAAAACTGCCTTGAAACGTACCTACTCATGTGTGTGTACACGTTGTATAGCCAATACTGTAATGCAGACAAGAGGAAAGAATCGCCAATAGCGTTTTTTTTTTTTTTTTTTTTTTTTTTTTTAAAAGAAAATTCATCGAGCTCTTCGCTATTAAATGCCTCTCTTGTGTTTTGCTGTACTGACTAATTTGTTTGCGATGTATATTTTTATTTGTATCAACGCGAAAATTTTTTTTAGACTCAAGTCAAGAAATTTCATCTCCAAACATACGCACACGTGTTTAAACGCACTGTCATGTTCGTGATTGCTTCATTTTTTGTGTTTGTTACAATTTGCATAAGGAAATATTTTATCCGTTAATCTGTCTCTGAATCGTTCGGCCGCTTGGGGCACTTGCGTATTTTATAGTTTTTCAGTTACAATTGCCTCTCGGTACATATTTATAATAGATGCTTTTCACGATATACAATATGACACACTCTCAAGCACCGCGATCTACTTACCAATGATCCCTCTGGTATTGATGATATCTATAACTTACAACTTATGCGTACTATATACCGTGATATGTATATTTTGTTATTACTTATTTGCACAAATATCTGTATTAACGAGTAAGGTTTGTCGGACGTCAAACGGGGGATAAACAGACGGCTATAGAGGGAGGAGGGCGCGCGTATTTTTGAAGTAGCGCATGTTTGATCGTTTGATACACAAGCACGCATATACATATACATCATGTGGGTGTAGATTATACATATATGTATCCGCCGCAGTAACAGTACCACATATAAGTATATTTATATAGTATAGCCAAGGCCAGTCAGGAAATTGAAAGTGTTAGAAACTCACGAAACGAAGAACCGATGGACAAGTATACTTGTATACTGAGGGTGGCGAACATTTTGGTACTACTGTACTACATGATAATGCGGCCATGAATATACACTTGCACAATTTTTGCGTAAACCACGTGCTTTACTCGTACACCTGTGTATACTATACATCACATGTATACGATTCGCTAAAGCGATGCATCGTTATTAATTTAATAGCGTATAGTTATAGTATAGGTCTTTGCGTTTTGTGTGTGTTTTCAAGCTGCCCGCCGCAATGTCCTACCGAAGGTTTATGCAAAAATCGCGCTGCTGCAGCTGCGTGCGTGCTAGTAATAAGTTTACAACGTACAGATATATACAAGTAATACAGCCAAGCATTTACAGAAAGCATACACGTATATGGGTAACTGACAATTGGACGTGAAAAGGGGGAAAAAAAAAAACCCAATTCCATCGAGTCGATGTTTATGGGGTTTTTTTTTTTTTTTTTTTTTTTCGTGCACGTCACTCTTCTTGTTCCAATGAAGGACATATTAAAGGCCTCCGAAAATATTGCGTACGTATGTATTATGCGCGAGTAAGTATATACGCGTGTAAAATCGGGGCGTGATCGGCACGAATTGTCGAGCGGAGTTGTTTATCGAAAAATTTTGCTTTCACGAAACGATACCTATATATAGATATTTAATACAAATGTACACCCATCCGATTGGTGGTCGAAAGGAGAAAAAAAAAAAAAGAAGGGAGCGGCTCTCTCGCTTCGATTGTTGTACATATACGTGTGTATAACAAGGCTACATTATATTATCTATTTGCTTACTCGCACAACATAATCATGCACACATATGTATATACATATAATATGATATATTATATTCATTATCATCGTCCACGCATTATCGTCCTCGTATTTTTACATGCCATACCTACACGTATTTTATTCCAAGCGAGAAAAAAAATACGCGAGCTATCGCGACTCGCTATCTTTTACCGATCAATTGATACACGAATGTAATGTCGTGTCTGCGGTTGCGTTATGTTTGTACTTTTTTTCGGAATTCGCTTTACCGAAAATGGTAAAAACGAAGGGGGAAGAAAAAAGGCTCATCAGATCGCACCCCCTTACCAACGGTATGTACTTACATGTGGTGTTATCGCGCGCTCGCACGCGATCCGAGACAAAATTATATTAGCTCCGTTGCATTTTGTCGAACGGTCTTTTATTTTCGCAAAGAGGAAATTCGTTGTTTTTCACTCGTCCGCTTTTGGCCGGCCAGCATCGGCTAAGCGTTTCAGGGAGATCGGTAGCCGCTAACGATTACAACCGAATCTCAGAGGCATGTATATACATGTAAGCCGTAGCTGTAAACACAACTGCATTGAACGCGTTTGCTCGCGGCACAAAGGAGCTTATTCTGTATATGTTGCGGGTGTGTATACGTCGAAATCCTTGAAAAATCGCGAACTCGCGAGAGGGGTAGGGACGTAGAGGTTCTTTCAGTATTTAGCGTGTCCTGCAGTGAGGAGTAATTTAAATCTCACTTTACTTTTACCTTGAAAAAAAAAAAGATAAGGAAATAATATCATGGTCGTATGATAAAAAAAAAAAAAAAAAATCCACTCCAGCAGCAGCGCCGCCGTCAGTTTTTGATATAACACAACGCGCGCGCTAAGCCAAGAACCATATACATTCATATAACTCATACTATAGCTCGCATAGGTTTGATAAAATTCATGCCCAAATGTATATTTAAACTTAAACATTGCACAAGGTCTGTGAAAAAAAATTGTTTAATACTTACATAAAATCCCATTTTATCACAGTTAATCGGGACTTTTATTTTGTCATACCAATATTTGAGTAAGCTATTGAATGATAACATTATTTACANGTAAGCAAGTATGGGTATCTTGCGTTATACACTTCCGACCAGATCAATGTTTTTAACATAACGGTTGTTTTCCCGAGGGCAACTTTCATTGATTTTTCAGCAAAGATATTTTTCATCATGGGAATTCGCGCTCTTCCATTTATACTTTTATTATAAATCTTCTCACCCCGAAGACCAATACGTCTTATATGCGCGGGTACAAAATACCCTTTGTGTTTTCATTTATCTCGTGACTTTTCAGAGAAATGGACGTGTATACACATCACACATTATACATACGTTTGACTCACTTTGTTTGCGCGATGATGTCGCGAGAGAAAAAGAGAACTCGGTTTTCCTGCCATGTATATACCATGTGTACGTCCGCGGAGAAAAAGATAAAAAATATTCGACAATAGGTACACGTACAACAATGTGATAAATATGCGTAACGAAGAGCCGAGAGATGCTGCCCGCTGACGTATACGCAATACAACATAAATATATAAGAGTATACACGGCCTGTAATTACAATAAACACACGGTATACTGTGTATTATAAACTATGCCGCTGCTCCATATAGCGAATAATCCACCCAATTGTCGCACGCGCGCGCGGGCTCTCTCTCGTTATCTAATTAATCGCTCGAACGGACAACGCGGGCTCGCGAGAACGAGTTTGCTGTGCGAGCGAATAATAATTGTTTAGGGTTTCACGACGCGATAACATCATTGCATCCCCTTTGCGCGTTTACGTATATGTGTGTGGTACACTGTTGTGCGTACCCCTACCTATACGCATTATGATCCGTCAGTCAGGACCTTAGAACTCCCAGGAGCGTTGTCTGAACAACTTATATACTTAGGCCTTTTCACGCAAATAAGTTGAACTGCATGGTTTTCTTTGCCATCTATTTTTCGGACGAAATTTTTGGCAAACAACGCAGTAAATTATTCAGACTATATGGGTAGGTACACTTAACTGATGCCAATAAAAAAGCCTCGTGTCCCTTACAATTGCCATGTTCAAGTGGAAATCCGTGTACCATTAACATTTATTGTTTTTCCATATAAAAATTAACTTACTTGTTAGCATTTCATTCGACTAGCAGACACTTGCTGTTTTTTTACATACACCAGCAAGTTATCGGTAGGTATCAATTATTAAATCGTAATATTCCGTACGCCACTGATTTCTATCCGATTGCTTGTAGCTGACAAAAAATTGATCTACAATGATTTTTCAGTAAGTCAAATCAACAACAACGCTTGAGAGAAAAAAAAAAAAAAAAAAAATCGTAAGTCAGGCAAGAATCAGGTAGTATCAGGGGGTCCCTGTTCCGTAGTAAACAAAGCAGACGACAGACAGAACGACGATTCGGAGCAGATGGATGCAAATTGGAGTATACTTATACCTACTATATAATATTATATTATAGATACATATAATGTATGGAAAAAAATGCTTTAAGCTGATAATGACGCGTTGATTTTGCTATTATACGCGAGCGAGCGCGGGGTAATCTCTCTTTGCTGTGTCATCGCGTAAGTGTAGGTGTATGTATATGTACTATTTATTGTACATATCTACATATACCTCCTCTTCTATGTACATACCGCGTAAGTATAATCGGAGTTTGGAGTGGAACACAAACATGCTGTGATAAAAGAACAGTCAGTCAGCTGGTGGCCCTGCCCCTGTAGAGCCCGTATCCACTGCATGAAGCCGTAGCCGTACATAAGTATAGGCACAAAGTGCTCTCAGGCCCAGTTTTCAGAGCTCCGATAAGAGAGTGATCTGATGGTCCGTGGTGGTCGGACCCATGAGTCATACTTAAGTTTCATCGTCCCTCTAACGTATACTATTTATGCAGTGATCGAGAAGTGGGGACACCGCGCACGACGTGCAGTGTCCCTTATTGTGTGTCCCCTGTGGGTGTGAGTGCTGCTGGTATAACCTTTTTGTTAGCTTTTTGTTAGCTTAACTTAAACAGCAGTTTTGCTCCAAAACGTTGCTTTTCGCAAACAATAGTTCCTCAGCGTATGAGAGAAAAGACTTTTTCGCCCAAATCAAGTGCAACTCTTGTGTGGTGTGTGTATGGCCTAAGTATATATACACAAGCATCCGTGCACAGCCAGTAAGCAGACCTTCTCCCGTCATCTCGCGCATATAAGTAGATAATTGAGTGAATTTAATAAATACATCAGTGCGTGCGTGCGATATGACAGTTACTGCCACTACATATCGGACATCAGTTGTGGTGCTGACCGAGCCGCTGACAAGCCTTGTTTTCGCTGCTGCTACCCTGACGGAGGGTCTGCATCGCTACTACAGCTGGCTCAGCTGTAATAGCAGTAGTCCAGCGGCCACGATGATGACGAGTAACGTTAGCTGAGAGACGCCCCAGCGCGTAGCTACCCCTGGTGCGGTGGTGCAGGCTGGAGACACGCGCTGTTTATTATCTCGCGTTGTGTGTGTGTGTGCACCAGTGGAGGGTCTTTGCGCGCATTTGTGACAGAAACCACAAACTTTATAGATTAGTTATTACAAGAGAAGGAGCTTTTCTTTCTTTGTTATTAATAGCCATCACCATCCATCGTTCTCGTCATGTCGCGACTTTCGCTCACCAAGTCCCAGTACAGCACCAGTCAGTACGGCTCGCGGCGCGTTCGCAAGATCAGCACGGTAATACCTACCTACAGTACACAGATCAGAGTACGAATAGCCGAATTTATGGCCCCCCTTCGAGTTTCCCATCTACCTATAAGATGTATTCACTTTTTCTCTCTCTCTCTCTCTCTCTCTCTCTCTCTACATGATACACATATTTATACATCTTACATAAGCTATATATTGTTACTAATGGGCCAGTTATTGTTGCCATATAGGCTTGTTTTGATTGACAGACGTCTTTGTACAATGAGGTCCTTGACGATGCTGCTGAACTTCTTTGACCAAGGCTTTATATTTTGTCTCTGTGTTGGCTACGTAGACGGAGAGCGAGTACTCGGTGGAGGAGCAGGCCCGGCTGACGGATGGAGTTGGAGGAGCCGGAGACGAGACGGTGACCTCGCCGGAGGAGGAGGCCGGCTCACTCTGCGAGTACCATGACATACCGCCCCCACCGGATGGTGGTTATGGCTGGGTCATCGTGTTCGCTTCGTTCATGTGCAACATGATCGTCGACGGCATCGCCTACACCTTCGGTATATTCCTCGGCGAGTTTGCCAGCTACTTCGGGGAAAGCAGCAGCACTGTCGCCTGGGCGGGCTCCCTTCTCTCGGGTGTCTACCTTATGGCTGGGCCTATCGTCAGCGCCCTGACCAACAAGTACGGCTGTCGGCCCGTCTGCATGGCGGGCAGCTGTATCGGCGCCATAGCTTTCATTCTCGCCACCTTCTCCAAGTCCGTGGGCATGCTCATGCTTACCTATGGCGTCCTGGGAGGCATCGGCTTTGGTCTCATTTACCTGCCGGCCGTAGTTGCGGTTGGCTACTACTTTGAGACCAAGAGATCCCTAGCCACCGGTATTGCCGTCTGCGGTTCTGGCGCCGGCACCTTCATCTTTGCACCCTTGGCTGGACTCCTCCTCGAGACGTACCAGTGGAAAGGCGCCATCCTTATATTGGCTGGCCTCATATTCAACTGTGCCGTGAGTACACCTAATGCGTTAGCTGTTATTGTTTTTTTTTTTTTTGTTGGTTGTTTTATGATAAGGAAAAGGATAATGTGAAATCCAACGTTGTTTTAACTTTTTTGTTCCGTTGCAATATATATTGTACACACACGGCATCTGTCTATCTAATCTCTCAGTTTTACCTGATGTTGTTTGCACGGTGTCAACGTTTTATCTCCATGCATGTTGACTCGCGGTTTAAAAACTTGCAAATATACTCACAACAATTTTTTTTTCCCTAGATTTTTGGAGCAATGATGCGGCCCCTGGAGTATCCAAAGGCTTCATCTGTGAAGCCGTTGCTGCAGAGGATGGCAGAGGAGAAGAGGTTCCAAATGGAGCGAGGCAGTATTGGGGGCTCATACTTCATGGTACAACTGCCGGATGGGTCCTGGGAGAAAAGAATGAAAATGCCAATTAATATCGACCCTGGCGTTCACTCTAGCTTCAATTTAGACCAATTAGTGCCTGGTAAGAAAGTCACTCAATTTTTCATAGAAGTCTATTAAAGAGCTGTGAATTGTTTTGTGTATACGAGTTTGGAACGTATTTGGAAACTTATGTATTTAATGAAAGATGTCGTAAATAAGAAAATCAACACTATACTGTTGTACAGTGGTGAGAAAGTGACAGAGACTCACTACTGTGTCGATTTTATTAATTGATGCTGATAATGTAAAAGGAACACCTCTGACACCAGTACCAACCGTGCCGACTCTACCCACGATATCCGAGGTCAAGGTGCACGAGCACTCGTCGAGCGGTGCAACGAGCAATAGCGGCAGTATGGCTGATCTCAAGACCTCTTCGGTCAAGTCGCGCAGCAAGAAGGCCATCGACGAGGGTAAAGAAGGCACCAAAGACAGTCTCGATAAACCTGAGAGCGAATTCAATAAGCCTGTGATCCCACGCAACGCCTCACAGCCGGCCTTCACCACTCACGTCCAGGGCTTGCCCAAGAATGGCTCTGTGCCGTTCTTCGACCGCATACGCAAAACTAGCACTGGCGAGAGGTACAAGCCGAGCCTCAGTGCCATCAAAAACTCTCGTACCACCCTCAATTCGAACGGAGATATCCGCAAGAGCTTGCACCTACGGCTTTCCGCGAGCAGTATGCTCGGCTCCCGTAATAACAACACCGAGATCGACGTAAGTCCAGTCAACTCTAAACAACGATACAACGACTAATTTTCACGGTTTTAGGACGGTGAGAGCATCACTTTTACCACCAGCAACACCCGCATCCCCAAAGAGAAGCCCCAGATGGTGCGGCCTCTCTCCAGAAAAGATATTTTTTATAGCGGTAGCGTGCTCTACTTACCTGAGTTCCAAAGTCAAAAGTCCCTCGCTAATTATCGTCAAAGTGTCATCTCCTTACCAAAGTCCGTGCGTGGCGTCGACGCCAAGGATGGCGATATAGAAAAAGCTCCGCAACGTGAGTTAACTGTACTTTTTTTTTCTTTTTTTTTTTACATGCAAACTTTGGATTTGTTTCAGAACCCCTGTGTCCATGCTTAGAGTTACCAGAGTCTTTTAAAGACGCTCTGGGAACAATGATGGACACGTCTCTCTTAAAGGATCCCGTTTTCCTTCTGATCTGTATCAGTAATGTATTTGGAATGGCTGGACTTTATATACCTTTCTTTTACCTTGTAGATGCAGCTGTTCAAAAAGTAAGTAACCAAAGTGAGTGCGTGTATGTGCACACATTTAAATGTTGATAAATCATTATTTATCTGAAATTTAATCGTTATTAGGGAGTAGAAAGATCATCCGCCTCGTGGTTGGTGTCTGTTATTGGCATTACAAACACTATTGGACGTGTGCTGTGTGGATACATTGCTGACTTTGAATCAGTAGATTCCTTGCTGTTAAATAATGTATGCTTGATCGTGGCCACGATATCTGTAGCAGCAACGCCGCTCTGTTCAACAACCCTGCATTATATGGTGATGAGCACCTTCTTTGGCTTTGCTATTTGTGAGTATTGTATTTGTCACTTTTTTTCCACTCTAGCATCATTGTGTTTTTGATTCACCTCATTCATGTTTAATTCTCAATTTTATTTCAACGACAACATCAACAACTAACGACGACGACAACAATAGCTGGCTACATTTCTCTAACGTCAATAATCTTGGTGGATCTCTTAGGCCTTGACAAGCTGACTAATGCTTTTGGCTTGCTCATCATGTTTAGAGGTGTTGCAGCGATTGGTGGCCCTCCAGTTGCAGGAAATTTATATGATCTTACAAAAGATTACGGAATAACCTTTTACGTCGCAGGATGTTTCTTTTTAATTAGCACTATTACGAGCTTTGTGGCGCCTACGTTGAAACGCTGCGTGAAGCCGCAGGTACTTGAATGTTACATGTTGTATTGTTCCTAATGGCTAAAACTTTTTATCTTGTAATTTTAATGAAAAAAAATTTTTTCCCAACTAGACTCAGCCTGTGATATTAGATACATTGACGCCGATAGATGAAGAATTCGAGGAAGAAGAAAACGATGATGATATTCCTGAAATCGTAGAAACTGCACCCTCTCCTCAAGAACCACCAGAGAAAGAAATTAAACAGATTGAGTCTGTACTGTAAATGCAAAAAAGTTAGTTGCTTTCGTCGTTGCTGTATACTTTGCTGTGAGATCACAGATAAACAATCGCAAATTGATCGACACTCCGAGCCACACTGTGATACGGCTGATAATTTTTCAACAAACCCTTGAGAGGTATTTCTGCTTTGGTACTTTTTTCATTATTAACATGCACAAAATAATAACTGATTATTGAGCCTGCTGGAATTTTCTCACGCAAGTGTTTTTACGTAAACACGAATACGAGACGTCGCATGGTTTTATAATCGTATTTCACAAATGTATTCAACAATAGCTCATCTAAAATCCAATCGAGCAAGCGCAAACGAATCATTTTATCTTCTGTGTATTAATACTTGTTACTGAATGAAGCAGAGGCGTTCAATAAACTTAATCAGTATCGATCGTCAGTATGTCTTAAAATGAAAAAAAAAGAAAACAAACTAAACATACAATTTTTTTTAAAAACGCGAGAAACTTTGCTTTTTGCGTATATGCTGAGAAACGTATGCTTTTTCACTTAGATAATTACAACTAAAATTATGATAGTCATAATGCTATTAAANGTGTAGGAGGAGAGGTACACCACCGAAATCGTTTCCTCGTTTTCGGAGAACGCAAGCACGGCGTCTAGTCTAGTATATGCAAGTAACCGAGTTCGTGGACACCACACGCGGAACGAGATAGCAAAGAAGTGAACGAAAAAGAGAGAGCCCCCGGCTGTACGCAAAAAAAAAAAAAAAAAAAAAAAAATGGTCGGCCCGCCAATAGAACAGAGCCATTATTAAGTCTCCTTTATTAATTAAGTACAATATACAAAATGCAAATAAATGTTTCTCATGTATATACACATGGCACATGTACATAACGCCGATGCACGATACAGTAATATTAATAGAATGGCGCGAATAAAAATTTAATTAACTGTTTTAGTTGTAAATAAAAAGAAAAAAGAAAAGAATCTGTAAATTGTAGAAACATGAGAATTAGTGCAAAAAAATTACTAATGAGAGCATTTTAAATATATCCTGCTACTCAACCCAAATGTAGTTTTGTAGTAAATGTTATCACGAAATAATTAATATATTTATGACAAGATTGAACAAAAGATTTTTTTTATATCAACAATAAATTTTGTCCATAGATCTCTTACTTTTTTTAAACGTACAATAATAAATAATCAAGTAAGAGATAAGAGGTGCTTATGAATCCGCTGAAGCTTTATGTGCTGATTGATACAAAAATTTATTATAATTGTTATTTTTCATCCAACTAGTAAGAACTGAGTCTTTTATTTTTTCTCGTGCTAAGACTTGTATGATATACACGTTAGTTAAAAATAAACTTACAAATTATTATTATTATTATTATTTCTACCCAC